TACACCTCCTGCTACGTCCCCCGCTACAGCCGGAGCAACAGCCTGCGCTACAGCCGGCTCCTGCAGGCCTTCCACGCCCGCCACGGACCAATGCAGTGCTGCCAGCTGGACGGGGGAGTGCGGGGCCCTGCGGCGCTTCCTCACGAGGTCGTCCGGGGAGATGAGCTGCTGGCGGATGGTTCTGGGTTTAGGGTTGAGGGGGGGGAAGAGAGGCGTAAGGGGGGGGAGGGTGGAGCAGAGGACAGGTGGGGCAGGAGAGTTCAGCTGCTTCCTCACAAGGTTGTCAGGCGAGATGAGCTGCTGGCGGATGGTGCTGGTGGGGGGGAGGTTAAAAACGAGGGGGCGGGTGTAAAGCAGAGAGTGGGTGAGGCAGGGGCGATGGGAGCAGAGGAGGGCAGATGAGGGCAGAGGATGGAAGAGCGTACTCAGAGGGCAGAATAGTGAGCGTACTCAGAGGGCAGAATAGTGAGCGAGCCAAAGACTGTCCTGCGAGTCGACTCGACTCTAAAGGCGGGCACACAGAGAAAAAGGAACGACAGTGATTGTGACAAAAAAAGGACGGAATAGCACAGTGAGCGTACTCAGAGGGCAGCACAGTGAGCGTACTCAGAGGGCAGCACAGTGAGCGTACTCAGAGGGCAGCACAGTGAGCGTACTCAGAGGGCAGCACAGTGAGCGTACTCAGAGGGCAGCACAGTGAGCGTACTCAGAGGGCAGCACAGTGAGCGTACTCAGAGGGCAGCACAGTGAGCGTACTCAGAGGGCAGCACAGTGAGCGAGTCTAAGACTGTCCCCGCACCATCTCCCCCTGCTGCTGCTGCTGCTCCTCGCTTCCTCTTCGCCTGCCCTCGCCTCGGCGGCCTTGGAGGCAGCCCCGCCCGAGCCTCGTCCGCAGGCTCGGGAGCCTCAGCAGGCTCGGCAGCTGCAGCGTGGTGTTCAAGCCCCGCCTGGTCCTCCTCGTGCGTGGGTGCGGGTGCAGGTGTGGGTGTGGGTGTGGGCGCGAGGGCAAAGTCTGGGGTGGGGATGGCTGGGGGCGGTGCAGGGTGGTGAAGGTGGGGCGGAGGGGGCGGTGGGGGTTAGAGGACAGCCAGGACATGGGGGAATGCAAAGAAGTGTAGACATGATACGCCATTTGCTGGTAAGCAATCTCAACACTTGTAACAGAAGCAGCAACCAGTGGGCCTCACAGCACCCTCTCACATTTTCCCAACAAAGCATCCCCCGCCCCACCCACAGCCCCCTCACTTTCCCCAGTGTCTGACCCCTGGGATGCCCACAGAGGGCGTGGCGAACCCTGCAGGCTCGCCAGGGGTAACTAACCATCCCGCCCATACCCCCCCCCCTCTCCGTTGAGGCACCTCAAACACCACCTTTACAAACCCCAACCGCTTCCCCCCAGTGCCTGACCCCTGGGATGCCCACAGAGGGCGTGGCGAAGCCCTGCAGGCTCGCCAGGGGTAACCATTCCGCCCATGCCCCCACTCCACGTTGAGGCGCCTCAAACCCCCCTACCCCCCTCCCCCCCCCCCCCCCTTTATCCCCGATTGCCTCACCTGGAATGCCCACAGAGGGCGTAGCAAACCCCATAGACGCGCCAGGGGTAACCATTCCGCCCATGCGCCCCGCCTCCCCTCCCCCCCTCCTCCCCTCTCCCTCCTCCGCCACATCAGCCCGTGGTGTGCCTGGCACAGACCCCTTCCCCTCTCCCACTCCTGCACCAGCCGCGGCAGCAGCAGCAGCAGCTTCAGCGGCTTCCAGGCTGCGGGCATCATGGTCAGCAGGCACAGCTTCTGCTCGCCTCACCTCCACCTCAGGTTCCTCCTCGCCTCCTTCCGCCGCCCCTCCCTCTGCCCCTGCCTCTGCCCCTGCCTCCGCCTGTGCTGCACCCGCCCCTCCCTCCACTCCTTCCTCTGCCCCTACTGCAGCTTCTTCTCCTCCTGCTGCCGCCTCAGCTGCTGCTGTCTCTGCCACCCCTGCTGATTCCGCCTCGCGCCTCTCAACCCCCTCCTGTGCTGCTTCCACTGGCTGCGTCGCCTCCACTGCCTCCTCCCCAACCGCTCCTCGCCCCTCTCTACCCATCTCCATCCCCGCGCCAAACCCCATGTCTAGATCCATCGGCTCCATCAGCCCTGCCTCGGGCTCATACCCCTCCAAAACCGCTTCAGGCTCATACGCCCCCGCCCCCACGCCCCCTTCTCCCCCCATCTCCCCCTCCTCCGCCACCCCCTCCCCTGCTCCTCCTCTCGCCCGCTCCTCTGCCACCTCCTCCGCCTCCCTCTCCTCCTCCGCCTCCCTCCCCTCATCCACTCCCTCCTTCCCCGCCCCTCGTCCCTCTCTCTCTTCGTGCGCCACGTCGCGGGGCAGCCACGGCTCCCCGTCCTCCTCGCCCTCTTCCACCAGCCGCATCACTGCACCCTCCTCCACCACCGCGAATTGCTCTGCACCGAAGTTCAGTTCAGTGTCAGGGAGGACAGGGTCACGAGGCGGAACAATGAGAGAGCTTTAGAAGCGCAGGGACAGGGTAACTTGGACTTCCAACACATGCGCAACCAAACAAATGCATGAGAGCATAATAAAACCACAAAACCAGTAAATGCACAAAACCATCTTACATGCTTTCCTCAAAACAGCTTCACACATGCGCTTCCATGCACCACGCGCTTGCACTAGAGCGCACGTACCCAAACCATACATGCACACCCGTGCTTGCAGCAGCGCACACACGCAAAAGCCACCATCACCCCACCGTCGAGTCGATACTGCGAGCCAAACGCGTAGCCATCATGCACACACCTAGGTCCTAGACCAACCACTGCACTCATGTGTTGCCATGCACACATGCACCCACCCAAACCACCATCACCCATCACCCACCGTCGAGTCGATACTGCGAGCCAAACGCGTAGCCATCATCGACAGGCGGCGGCTCCGGTAGAGTGATCTGCTCGCGCGTGGTGAGACTCTTGTCCACCGCCCTGCACCGCACGCAACCACAAAAGAAAGAACACCGTCCAGGTGGCGAAAGAAAGCAGTAGCAGCGAAAGGCAGAAACGAAAGAAGACGGTTCAGAAAGCAGTGATGCTGAAATGATACTACTACCCTGCCTCTGCCCATCCCACCCGGGTTGCAGCTCGAACACGCCATCCGGCAGTGCAAGCAGCTCCTCCAGCTCCAAGTGTTCCGGCAGAGTGATGGCGTGGAACGACGCTCGTGAATGCCGCTCCCCATGCACACGCCCCTCTCACTTGCTCTTGACCCCCGCACGACCCCCCTACCTGCCTCTACTTCTCTCACCCTGGTTGCAGCTCAAACACCCCATCAGGCAGAGCAAGCAGCTCCTCGAGCTCGAAGTGCTCCGGCAAGGTGATGGCATGGAAGGACGCTGTTGCTGCCTCGGGGGGCAAGTCCACTGCTGCTCGCGCCAACACCTGGCGGGGAGGGGAAGGGGAGGGAGGGATGGAGAAGGTGGAAATACGTTTGGCCTCTTTACAGTGACTACTGAGTTGGCTCAAAGTACCAACACGCTGAAGATTGCATAAGAGAAAAATGTATTGAAGTGTAAGTGTATACGTGCATACCTGTTTCATGCGCAGCACCGCATCGGAACAATCCGCGTACAGATAGCCCACCTGGGGGAACAAGGGGCGAGGGGAGGACAACGAGGGAGCGAGGTTACCTTACACCGCTACGCATAACGTCGCGAATGGTCTCGCAGTGGACAGGGAGAAAGAAAGAGCATTCAATGCGAAAGCGAAGCGCAATTATCAGCAATGAAACAAGGAATAGGAAGTGATCGGGTGTACCTTCCGCGAGTATATTCGCACGACGCCGAGCAGCAGATGTCCCGACAGTCGCAGCGCGATGGGGACCTCGGGGTGAAGAATGGTGTCTGGGGGGGAGGGGGGAGGACCGGGGGGGAAAGCAGGGCAGGAAACGATGTACCTTGTGTTACAGTTACCAGAACTCGGATTACACGTCAAACATCTGTGAACGGACTGCGGAAACCAGCCGAAGACAGCTGATAGAACCTTTTAAACGTAATCAAGAAAACGAAACAAGCGGTTGTTTCGTAACGATTGAAAGAACTCAAGCATCGAAGCGTAAGATTTATACGATTAATAGCCAGTGACCCCGAGCTGCTAATGTTTCTCACCGACGGTCTGCGGGATGTCGGTTTCGAAGATTTGATTCTTCCGCAGCTTGCGCTCGAGATGCGCCGCTATCCATATCGGGCCCAGCGCGCCCTTCTTCGACAAAAAGAGCTGCGAAAAGAACATCGCGACGACGACTACGCGACGGGAGTGGCGACGACGGCGACGAGGACGATAATGCTTTCGGCGGTAAAGCTAATTAGAATGGCTTCGCTTCTTAACAGCGCGACAGAAATGGGGATCGCGACAACGTCGGACAGAGACTACGACTATGGAGGACACATCAAGGTCTAGGAGGGCGAGAGATGGCAGTAACTAAGGGGAAAATGCAGCGATCAGGCGATGCGAACAAGGACTAGTAGTGTGCACACGGAAAGGAAGAGTAACGCTGCTGCCAGAAACAGAAGACGGCCTGAAATAAAACCGTTATCTGACGGGAACCGAACACGAGCAGTCAAAGTTGGGCTACCTAATGCTCCAGAAAATCATTCATATTAGTATCTAAATCAGGACGACCGCGTAGCCGTCAGTTCTCGCGAACCTCCCAGCAATATGCAACTTAGGTCCCTTGTGCGCTTAGGAAAAGTAGAAATGCTAAAATAGCTCAAACGGCTCTCCGCCCTTATCGCCCAATAAGCTAGGAAAAGCCGAACTGCCTTTCTTGCGAGCGCTCTCCACGCGAATGGTGGCTTCTGCAAACCCAACCAGGCTACGCGCAGGGGGAGGGAGTTCCGCTGCAGTGGGTGCCTTCCGCTTGACGAATGCGGGAGAAGCCAGCGCGGGGCAGCGGGTCTCTTGTCATCCCCATATCCGCTGTGTTTCATTGGCGCTCGTCTGCTTGACGCCATCATGCTCCAGGGCGCGCGTGACTGGCTAGAGGGCGGGGGAAATATCGGCGGTGCCCATCGGAGTGCATGGGTTGCCGCGTACGTGTGCGCATTACCGACTACGCATAGCGCACTGCATGGGTTGCAGTGGGTGGTGTGCGGGAGGTCCTCCACCCCTCCACGTAGCCACAACCAGAATCGGAGTTTCGATTTGGATTGTACGCGTTTGTATTGAACCTGATTGAATATTTTAGTGACCTCGAAATTTATATAAAATAAACTGCTCTGAAGCAATCAAACTCACTTCCCTCGGCCACCTCGAAGCTGCTTTCCGTGGCCGATATTCCTACGTGATTGGTTCTCACATTTTTCGTAGCCTCGGGCTGCCCACCCAGGGATTGCCCCCCCTGGAATTGCACAGCTTTGAGGATTGCTGCCCGGTCCACGCTTGTGAAAAGACTTTGGAATGTCCGAGTTTTCACCATCCGCCGCCACTCGCCGTGGCGCAACAACCCTTGCCCGTCGAGCTAACAACCAACTCTTCGACTATGCTTCTTCTTGACCAGCCGCCTCAACGCCTCATGCGTGCTGGAAACGCTGATCTGCGGTCCTCGCTCCGGAACCTTCTGTTAGCTTTCTCGCCCTTCATTCTCGTAGCTTGCTTGAATACCTGTTGATGACGAGGGAGGTCCCGTGAAGCAGCGACTCGGGCTCATTTCACTTACGTCTCGTCCCAAATGACTCATCGATACAAATTTTTTACGGTCGGCTACGCCGTTTCGAGATCATCGAGAGGAAGGCGATACAGAATGTCTGTTCTACGGTTCTACCTTAAATAGACGCAAATACTCGAGTTCGCTGAACCCACTATGGCCGCTATAATAGCTAATTCTAACTCAGAATCTTCGACGCCAGCACCCTGCCTAAGTCGCCGTCAACCCAGCTGCTGTAGGAACAATCGCCGTAAGAACAGCGCAGCGCTGTTACAAAAACCGGCGCCTTCGCTAAGTCGGGCAGGAGCGCATTCGTGCCCTCAACTACTCATGTCGCGACTGATGATGTTGCAAGTACTTCTATTACTGCTTACTGGACTATTAATTCCCACCGCGGTTCACGCTAACGGCGACTTTAAATACCGGGGAACGAAGGCGGCGGGAGGGCACGGAGTGTCGGCGTATAAAACGGGTCCCTTTCAAGCGGCCCCCGTTCCCTTAACTCTCCTGCCAGACAATCCCTTCGGCGCGAAATGTCTCGACGGCAGGTAACCCTACCGCGGCCTTTCGTCAACGAACAGCGTCACTCACTCGTTGCCTGGTCTTCGATTGTGCGCTGTGTCTCGATTAAAAAAGGGCCTTATATGGAACGAAAGGCGTCGCGAGCAGGAAGGTGCAGCATTGCGGAGAACTGCGCGAGGAGAGGCACCTCAACTAACACTCCCCTCTCCTCCTTCCCCCCTCTCCGCCCGCCCCCCCCCAGTCCCCCCGGGTACTACCTGCGGCGCGCGCGCCCGTCGCTGAGCCGCTTCTGGCACATCCACCTGCCGGGCGGCGGGTGGTGCACCACCGAGGAGACCTGCGCGTGGCGCGCGGGGAGGAAGCTGGGGTCGTCGCGCCTGTGGCCCCGGGCAATGATTGTGCGTGTAGCGAAGGGTAATGGGGTGTTGTATGTTGAAGGGAATTTATTGTGCGTGTATTGAAGGGGAATGAGGGTGCCGCGTGTTGAAGGATTTGTACGTGCATGTATTGAAGGAGAGAGCGTGCCTTCGTGTAAGGGAAACTTCTGTGCGTGCATCTTAGCAAAATGAATGTGCATATGTCGAAGGGGAAATGCATGTGACTTCCACGCTCTTACGCCTTCTCCAAGCCGCGTGGCTGCCGGGCATTATGAGCGCGGACCCGGACGTGAACTTCGGGTTCGGCGAGTGGAACATATGGCCATGGTCGTGTACTGCGATGGGGGCGGGGAGAGGGGAAGATACGTGGGGCGTGCGGGGGGTGGGGCGCGGGGCGAGGTGACCTCAGAGCCGATTCAATCAATCTCTCATTCTCCCCTCTCCCCTCCGCCAGCCGGCATGGCTGCCGGCAGGGCAATGATTGTGCGTGTAGCGAAGGGTAATGGGGTGTTGTATGCTGAAGGGAAATGAATGTGCGTGGATCGAAGGGGAATGAGGGTGCCGCGTGTCGAAGAGATTTGTATGTGCGTGTTCTGAAGCGGAAAGCCTTCATGCATGTATCAAAGCAAGGATTGCGCATATATGGAAGGGGCGCGGGGCGAGGTGACTTGAGAGCCGATTCAATCAATCTCCCATTCTCCTTCCTCCCCTCCGCCAGCCGGCATGGCTGCCGGGCATTATGAGTGCAGACCCGGACGTGAACCCGGGGTTCAGCGAGTGGAACATGGTCATGGCTGTGTACTGCGATGGGGGAGGGTACGTGGGGCGACGGGGGGAGGTGACTGTAGCGGGCAACACAACACTCCACATGGACGGATGGAAGATTGTAATGGCCATTCTCGATGGTACATGCGTTGCCTTCCCTCACGGCCCCCCTTCCCCACCCCTCCGCTTCCTCCTTCCCCACCCCTCCCCTCCCTCCTTCCCCACCCCTCCCCTTCCTCCTTCCCCACCCCTTTTTGGAGCGCTTCAGTCGTTTCAGTACTCTGGGCAAGTGCTTGCTTGTCTTGTCGTTTCCGCCCTACCTCTCTCTTTTACACCCTCACACACATTCATGCGTGCAAACACACTCGTACCTCCTCCCTTCCCCCATCCAATCACACACACTTACGCGCGCGCGCGCACACACACACACACACAAGCCTCCCCCTCCTTCCCCCCATCCAATCACACACACTCGCCCCAGACCTCTCATCTAAAGGGCTCATGGCAGCTCAACAGGTGCTAATAACGGGAGAGTCAGCCGGGGGGCAGGCAGTCGTGAACCTGTGTGACTATATCGCAGCCTACCTCTCCTTCGCCACGGTCAAATGCCTCTCTGATGGGGGCTTCTTCATTGGTGCGTAGCACAACATTTATGTATGGTGCGTAGCACAACATGTATGTATGGTGCGTAGCACAACATGTATGTATGCTGTATCAGATTCACACCCCACTCATACGCGCGCACCTAAATCGCCCGGCCTACCTCTCCTTTTTTCGTGCGTCTGCCAAATGCCTCTCTTTGCTTTTTCAATGGTGCGTGCGCGAGACACACGTGCATCGCCACCCACGCACCTCACTTCTTATGCATTGCTCACGTCCATACGACCCATGCACCTCACCACACATGCATCGCCACCCACGCACCTGCCACCACCTATACACGCTCACATTACTCATGCACCTCCCACAACCCTCCTCGGTCCACGCTCCTCTTCCCCTTGCCCTTACCCTTCCCCTTTGCTCGCCCCCCGTAATCATTACTACTCTTCTCAGTAAATGCTGTTACACTTGTATTGTTGCACTTTGGTGTCAAATTACCCCATTTTGATCTGTGCTTCACCTGTGTCATTCACTAAGTTGGGTCCGTAAACACGCGTAACATATATTCGGGCAGGGAAAAAAAATGCCAAAAAGGGCCGTCACCTACAGGAGTGGGACAAGAGGCAGGATGCGAGACAAAAAATGTGGCAATGGTGTGAAAAAACAGCACACATGATACCCATCACCACAAACATCATCGCACCACCCTTTGGTTGTGCAAGAAACAACCGGATCAACAGCAAAAACGAGGGCACAAGATTGTTGGGCAGCCCAAAAAAAGTTGTAATCTGCCCAAAAACGTAAACATTTTCAGCTCCGCACACGTAACATAAAACGTACGTAAACGTAAAACGTACGTAAACGTACGCATAACATCCAACTTAGGTCATTCATCCATGCCACTCACCTGTGTCGATCATCCGCCTGCCGCCCCGCCTGCCTGCCCACCTGCCTTCCCGCCTGCCCGCCTGCCTCCCCGCCTGCCTGCCCGCCACGCCATCAGACGTGCCAGACAGGAGGGGGCGTTCCTTCTTCCGAGAGATAGCAGAGAATGCGACACAGCTGCACCAGATGTTCAACCCTAAGTGCAACCAGGGTGAGGGTCTTACTCAGTGAAGCAAAGATCAAGGCTTGTACACCAATTGTTCAATCGTAGATGCAGCCAGAGTGAGGGTCGCTTGCTGTGAGACATTGCAGAGATCACACAAAGATCAATGCCTGTGCACCAGATGTTCAACTCTTGAATTTTTTATTTTCTGAATCTCCTCCTTCCCTCCCCTTCAAAACCCCTCTTTCCCCTTCTCTTTCTCGATTCCCTCCGCTCTACAGATCTTCCAAGTCAAGCCCAGTGGCGCTGCTTCTTCCCACAGTACTCGCTCGCTTACGTCACGTCCGATATATTCATCCTCAACACTCTCTTTGACCCCATAGCGCTCATGATTGGGGCCCAGCTGCCCTGGGGCCATGAGCACGCCAAGGAGTGTCTGTTTAGTCTCCGATGGGGTGCATCAGGTGGGGGAGGAGGGGGCTTGAGTGGCGGAGCGGGTTTTTGGACAGGAGGTGCTGGGATTGGGGGAGGAGGGGAGGGGGGGAGGCTTGGGGGAGGGAGGGGAGTTTTGAGGGGAGGGGTTGATGGGGAGACAGCAAAGCCGAAGATGCTGGGTGGTGATGGTGGTGCTGTATTCACAAGTGTTGGCATGGCAGAGAGTGATTATAATGAAGCGTTTTGGGGAAGTGGTTACAGTGAAGCTGGTTCGGTTGGCGTCAACATAGCGGAGAGCAGCGGGAGCAGTAATGGGAGCAATGGTGATCGTAATGTTGCTGCTAATAGTAACACTGGTGATCAGGCTGGGAGCAGACCCGTCGGCAGCTTTGGTGCCGGTCAACGCAAGAATGGTTACACTGCAAAAGAGCAGCAGCTACAGGAACGGGATCAAATGCAGCAGTCACTGCAGGATAAACAAAGAGGGAAACAGCTGAAGCAGCAGCAGCAGCAACAGCAGCAGGGCTGTCGACCTGAAGAGCGCACTGCAGTGCTGAACCATGGCTCCATAATAACCACCTCTCTGCAGGAATACGCCAATGATCCACATGACAATATCAGAGTGTTCTTACTGAATGCATATGCACATGGGATTGGCGGCACCAGCTATTGGACATCGTTTACATCTGACTGGATGCTGATGCCGCTGAATATTGCAGTGGCTAACTGGTTTGACGGTTCCAGATAGTGAAGTTACGCTGTATTTTGCTGCTCTTATAAATTATTAATTGTTCCTTTCTAGTCTGAAGAATGTCGTGTTGCACACTGTATCACTTCACGTACCTATGTTGAGAATGATGGGTTCTTGTTAGGTCCACCCACCGCAGGCAGTGTCGTCCTCGGGACGGGTTTCAATGGTGACACCGTCACGGTGTCAGGGATCGGGATGCAGCTCAGCAACATCCGACATGGACAGGTTCATTGGACTCTCTCGAGCAACAGCCCGTCCAGCCGGGACCTGGACCCAAATACGAACCACATTCCGAAACGGCATTCCCCGGAGCACCGCCCCACGTGAACTATTTTCATTACCTTCCCCAAGTAGCACTATCCTACCGCGATCCTCGGGCTGGTGCTGCTCGCGACCGACAACTTCCGTTAGCTCGTGGCCGTACTGTACTGTAATTAAAACCGTCGCGACCAAGTTGGCTCGAACAAGCGTCGCTTTCTCGAGCACGTAGCGGATCCAATACAGTACGTACGAGCAACGAGCACTCTAACTACAGGAGCAAAGGCTTGTGGAGAGGACACTATTTTACGGGGAGCATAATCAAATCCCGACCCGAGGACAGCTCGAGGCCAAAAAAACGACAACCATTCTTTTCTAGAACCACCGTAGACTCTCCAATACGATGTGTGTATATGTGCGAAGTACAGTTGTAGAAGGTCTGGCGTTCGTGAACATTGCACGTCGTTCGACGAGAGCCTGTCGGTCCGCGATATGCCGCGTACCTCGTCACGTGACGAGACTGCCGTTTAGCAGCACGTCGGGAACATGTAACACGCAAGTCGCGCAAGCTTGCAGCTTTCTAATCACTTGTGGGAGATGCCGTTTTCTGCATTTTGCAGCCTTGGTCGATTAGCCCATGCACGGTGATCGACAAAACGTCTTTTTCCTGCTTCAGCGCACGTTATCTGCTTACTTACCTGGATCGGTCGCGCTATGAAACGGACAAGGCACTTACTTCCCGGTACCTTTTGAGTCGACTCAAATGCCACTTGGCGCTTTGGTGCATTTGAGCTCAAAAAACGGGCCGGATTGATAGTGCTTGGTTCTTCCTCAGGGCCATCCGTCCTGCCTGATTCGCTGAGCGATCTGATCAACTGGAGCTTCCGAAGCTTCTGTATCAGGATAAAATAATTATCTTATGCTGCTCCTCGAAACGGTAGCAGCATACAAGCATGAACCAGACTAACTGCTCGAGTGCTCCTTCATGCCTGCATAAGCGTATGTCCTCCTTGCGTCGCACCGACCGTCGAGCCTCGTAGGAGGATAAGTCAGGATAAACGCATTATCCACGCCATCTGCACAGAGCTCACGTCGTCATTTCTATAAGTACTCGCTGTGTGAAGTTGCAAGCAGTAAACATATTCACCTCCTCTCCACCTCCTCACTCCGATCTTCAGTTGAGAATGCAATCCTCGCCGTGCGTTCTCCTCCTTCCAAGCGGCGCAGCTCGACTCTACTGGGATCGGGTGACGGTGCGACAGGTTCAGCAAGAGTACCCCGAGTTTGTTGTCTGCATGGATTCGGATCCCGTTAATCCTCTTCGGCCATGTGCTGTTCTTCGCCCTGGCAGCACCTGTTTTCTGGTTCCTTCATCTCAAAGAGTCCGTCGAACATTTAATCATTCATCCCCTCGACGACCTGATGGGTTTACAACGCATCAACCAGCCAGCGACGAGGAGTTTCTTCCAATACTGCGGCGAGCGACCTTCATGGACCCAGAACCTGGAATGATGGGATCAGTTGCGGCAAATAGAAATAATTCGAATGCAGTATCGTTGCTCCCTGAGGGACGTGCAAGATCCATCGACAACAGGGAAGGAGGGCAGAAGAGGAGCAGATCGAGGGTCACTGACGGGTGCAATTCGTGTCAAAAAAATCATAACTACATGTATATCTGATCAGCCTAAGTTAGATATACGAATATCATGTGTTCCACGGCTATGGTGGTCACATTTCTTTTCCAGGAACCCTGAAATGCAATTCCTGTATATACCTTCTGTGTCAGGAACTCGACGATTGGCAATGCTGCAAGCCATTTATTTAGTATAAGATGTACATTATTTAGGCAGCTATTGCTGCTATTTTCCTATTGTTACACCTTGGGCATAATGAATCATACGGTATCATATCCTACCAAACTCCTACTGCCATCAGCAACGGGTTTTCCACCCTTTCAAAACCATTTTCGACGTCGCTTTGGCATGAGCCCTCGGTATCCCGAGGGCACTACCAGCCACAATTCGAGCATCTCCTTGCACAGTCTCAACCCGTCCCGCCCTCCGCTTCCCTTCCAACCAGCGCCACCTCCTCTCTCCCCACCTCCTTCCCCCGTGCTACTTTCAACCATCCCAGTCAGCCGTCCCACGATCCGAGCGCTAGCCTCCACGTGGCGCTCATCCAGTGGTCGGCTCCACAGGAGCCCAACCAGCTGGCGCTTGCGTTGGCGCGATGACGTGGCAATGCCCCATTGGCGGAAGAGCTCGAGACGGTGGTGGAGTGTGAAGCAATAGGCCATTCGCTGGGCTAGGTACTCCCTCTCCTTCCTAAGCTCCCTCTCCCTGAAATACCAGTCGTGACGGAATGACACCGAGCCATGGTGATAGACAGAGGGTGGAGGTGGGTGGGGAGGCAACAAGGAAAATATGCGCCAACAGACCAAGAGCAGAAAATATACAGGCAGCAAGGTAGAAAGTGGATGAGACAGCAAGGACTTCAACTACACAATTGGCACTCTCTGTAGTTTGAGGCATTTCATACACGCATTAGCCCCACGCCAGTCATCCAAGGAGGGGAGCGGCTTACCTGGCTGCCTTCTCCTCTGCCCCCACGTGCTGCACCAGCCACTGCAGCCGGCGCCTCTCCACCTGCAGGTACACCCGATCCGACGGCTCTCCTTGCATCAGCACGAGGAACAGCTGCGTGCGACGGATGAGCGACACCTGGCAGCGGTCCCACAGCAGCACAGTCTCTCTCATCTCCTCCCTGAACTCCGCTTCACAGGATGGCGTCAAAGGGGAGCAACGAGGACGATGCAGATGGGGAAGAGCGCTGCCAGGTGTTGTTGTATCAATGCATGCTGCTCCAGAAGCTGCTCGGTTCCACTGCCCCCTTCCTTCCCTTCTGCTCGCCACCCTTCCCCCCTGTGCTCTTCCCATCCCTCTATCCTCCTCCTCACTGCCCCAACCTCTGTCCCCCGCTCCCTCTCCCTCCTCATCCTCCAACTCATCCTCATCCTCCTCCTCCTCGCCCAGCCTACCCGCCTCCAGCTCGACCACCTGCTTCACCAGCAGCTGCTTCTGGTAGTGCAGCTTCGCTACAATCTCCTTCAGTTCAAGCACGTACGTGCGAATGCTCGCCACGTTCACCTCGGCTGGCGATTGGAACAAAAACTCCATGCGCTGGAAGTCCTGGGAGGAGGACCGGGTCATGCCAGAGGGGTCTGCAAGGCACCCTATGTCAAACCCCATCCCTGCAACCCCGGCGTCAGCAGCGGCCTGAAGCTCCCGCACTCCCTCCGCAGCAGCCTTTCCAGCAGAATCATCATGCTCACCAGCAGCAGAAGTAGCTGCCGCAGGAGCAGCAGCAGCAGCAGCAGGTGAATATGCGTTGCTGCCTCTCTCTGCTTCCTTTTCATCTCTCACTGTGAGCCGTGAGAGCTCTGCATGGAGCTGGAGCAAGCTGGCGGGTTGCACCAGCTCCGATACCGATCCAGGCCCTTCTTCCCCATCCCTGCTCGCACTACCACCAGCAGTCCCTTTGCTTGCGGCCCCCACTGCAGTGGGAGCACCAGCGGCAGCAACAGTGGCAGCAGCAGCATTGGCAGGAGCTATTGCAGCGGTGCCACCAGCAATGGCAGCAACGCCACCAGCAGTAGACAAGCACCCCGACACAGGCTGGGAGGCGAGGGAGGGCGTGAGAAGGCCAGAGAGTTGGTGAGAGAGAGGGGTGAGGAGGCCAGACGCGTAGCAGGAGGAGATGTTGGAGGAGGGGGTGAGCAGCCCAGACACACAGTGGAACGGGGGCGTCAGGATCCCAGACAGGTGACTAAGCGGCGTTTGAACGCCTCCCTCTGACAGACTCTCACTCTCCTGCCCGTGCCCCTGCCCCTGCCCCTGCCCCTGCCCGTGCCCCTGCCTGTGCCCATGCGGCTGGCCAGTCTGCCTGGCTCTCATGCGCTCCATCTCCCCCTGCAACGCCCCCATGGCGCGCCCCACGTCGTCCCCCAGGGCGTCCTGCAGCTTCTCCAGGCGCTGGATCTCCTGCATCAGCGCCAGCACCTTGGCACTCACAGCCTTGCGCCGCCGCCTCCTCTCCCTCGCCCTGTCCCCCGCCACCCACGCTTCCAGCGACTGGAGTGAATGGAGGGACTGCAGGGACTGGCGGGACACGCTCTCTCTGCCAAACGAGCCATCCTTGTCTCTTCCTAGCCTCCCGCCCCTCCTCCCCTGGCTCATGTCTCGCTCGTCGGCTTCCCCTCCCTCGTGCTGCTCCCACTGCTGCTCTCCCTCCCTCCCTCTCGCATTCTCCTCCCATGTCATCCGTCCCCTTGCTGCACGCGCCTGCTGCTCTCCTCCTCTCCCGCTCACACCCAAGGTCGCTTCACCAGCCTCGCCTCTCTCCCTCCGCCCTCCCATGCTGCTGCTGCTGCTGCTGGCAAATCTCGACTTGGAGATCCCACGGGTATGACCATCCTCCCCTGCAGCATCGCAGCCACTGTTACTAGAAGACAACCATCTGCCGCCCACAACCAGCCCACCTGCCAGCTGTGCCACCCCTTCCCCTGGCGCTACCTTCCCATCCATCACCCCCTGTGTGTGCATGCCGTTCGCCTCGGCTGCAAGAAATGCAGCAGGAGGAGAAGCAGCAGCAGCAGCAGCAGCGGCGGCGGCGGCGGCAGCGGAGGGATGGAAGGAGGCGTCTTTCTCCCTTTGCTGCTTGCTGGGTCTGGGTCGCCTGGTGAAGCTTCCCGGGAAGCACGTGGGCAGCACGAGATCCAACGGCTTGGATGCTGGGAAGCAGGTTGGCGTGAAGCGATCCCAGCCGTCCGCCTCGTCGTCGGATGACTCTGAGACGTTGATGCTGGAAATTGGGTGAACCTGCGAGGAAGGGGGGAACACAAAAAGATTCAACGAAAGTTTAAGAACAAGGAGAAAGAAAGGGGCGCGGATGGGGAAAGCAGACGGTCCTTGGAGTGGAGAGATCTACATAGACGTAGCAGGAAAGGAAAGTTCAGAGAGGAGACAGCTGAGACGGCACGAGTACAAGACTGCAAAGAGAGTCAAAGAAGCCACCCTTGCCAACCACCACAACTCTCATTCTCATGCTCTTACTTAACGAACCGTCCCAGTGCTTGCCCCTCCCGCTGCTATCCCCGTGTCGCCCACAAGTTCTTTTACCCTTGCCACCAGGGAGTGTGTCCCTGGCAGGTGGCAGCAGGTGAGGCGTGTGCGTGAGAGAGAGGAGATGAGGGAAGCGTACCTTGCTGCTCTGCCAGGCTGCCATGCACAATCAGCTCGCCACAGGAACCGCCTTGGGACCAGCCGTGGCACGTTGACGCAGCAGAGATGGCGTGTGTGAGAGAGGAAGAGAGGAGCTGAGGGGAGCGTACCTTGCTGCTCTGCCAGGCTGCCTGCGCCCTTCGCCTGCCGTGGGACCCGCCTTGGGAGCGGGCGTGGCAGGAGGAGGCAGCGGAGAGCGCGTGTGTGAGGTGCTGCACCTGCGCGAGTGCCTCGCTCTGCTGCCTCGCCGCCTGCGACAGCTGCGCCTCCAACTGACGAGTTGGGGAAGGGAAGGGGGGGCGGGGGGAAGGGTAGGGAGAACGGGAGAGGACGGGAGAGGGGGCGGGGGAGGGCGGGGGAAACGGAAGAAGGGGGTGTGTGGGGCAAGGGAAGGGAGGAGAAGTAGTGGTGGTTTTGATTGCATTCGAACTTGAGTGGAAGGGCGGTGGGAGGCCGGCGAAGGGGGGTGGGGGGCGGTGGAGATGGATGCAACAGATTGCAGTGTGAGATTACTTGCAGCGTGGAAGAGCTGCAGGTTTATTGCGGCAGGGAGGGCAGCAGACACAAGCAAGAGAGTGACCTGTGGGCGTGGTATGAGCATGAGGCCACAGGCAGTTCTCAGCCCGTTGCCTCTACTAGTGCATGGCTCTGCTGCCTACCCGCCCTCCTTCCTGACCTCCCTCACTCCAGGACCCACACCATTGCCCTGCCTCCTCATTGTTCCCCCCCTCTCTCCCCCACAGCCCCACCTCGCATTTCCCCCTCCTCCCACCGCTTACCTGCTGCACGCGCACAGCCTGCTGATGGAACTGCTCTCTGGACGGCCGCATTCTCATCTCGCCCTCCAGCCGCGCCACCTCCCTCTGCAGCTGCTCCACCAGCGCCCTATCCGTCACCACCTGGTGGGGTGAGGGATGGAGGGAGTGGGACGGAGGGAGAGGGACGGACGGAGAGGGACGGAGGGAGAGGGACGGAGGGAGAGGGACGGAGGGAGAGGGACGGAGGGAGAGAGACGGAGGAGAGGGACGGAGGGAGAGGGATGGAGGGAGAGGGATGGAGGGAGAGGGACGGAGGGAGAGGGACGGAGGGAGAGGGATGGAGGGAGAGGGACGGAGGGAGAGGGACGGAGGGAGAGGGACGGAGGGAGAGGGACGGAGGGAGAGGGACGGAGGGAGAGGGACGGAGGGAGAGGGACGGAGGGAGAGGGACGGAGGGAGAGGGATGGAGGGAGAGGGACGGAGGGAGAGGGATGAAGGGAGAGGGATGGAGGGAGAGGGATGGAGGGAGAGGGATGGAGGGAGAGGGATGCAGGGACCAGTACGGGAAGAGGTACGGCGGGCGGTAAAGGAGAAGGTTGAAGGGAGGAAGAAGCGTCCGCGCCACCTCCCTCTGCAGCTGCTCCACCAGCGCCCTATCCGTCACCACCTGGTGGGGAGAGCGAGGGAGGGAGGCGATAAGGGAGAGAGATGGAGGGAAGAAAGAAGAGGGAGAGGGACATAGCGAGGGGATAAGGCGCTGTGCACCCACACACCCACACTGCGCACCCACAGACACCCAAGCTGCCCACACCCACATGCGACGATCCCTGCACACGTACTCACCACGTTGACACAGGCCGAGTTGGTGACCTCCTTGGCTCTCAGTGCGAACGCGAGGGTGTTGCGTGTCTGGTCGAGGTGGGTCCTGCCGGCGCTGATGGTGGTGATGATGGCAGTGCGCCCGTTGCCCCCCAGTGACTGCTGCAGTATGCGCGTGAGCTTCGAGTCCCGGTAGGGGATGTGCCCTGCCTTGGCCCTGCTGCCCGTGCTCAGCTTGCGGATCACCGTCGCAAGCGTGAGCAGGCTCCTGTTGATGTGGCACCCCTCCTTGAGGCGCGTGCCCGCCACGTGCGTCTGAGACGCCCTCTCACTGCCCGCCAGGTCCACAAAGTTCTGCGCCAGCCAGCCACGTGGCACGAATTCATTGGGAGGGGCCAATCAGCAGATGGGGGTGGAGCAGAGAAGAGAAAGAAGGGCGAGCGGGAAGGAAAGCAGAGGAAAGCAGATGAGCAGAGGACAGTTGAGGAGATGTGTAAAGCAGGCTTTGAGTAGCCAGAGGAAAGGGGAGAGCCGGGGGAGGGGAGGGAAGCGGTAAGAAGGAAGATGCATTCAGGAGACGAAGGCGAGTTGAATTCGTATGGCATGACATTTGCAAGAAGTCGTCAGATTCCATACACGAGGTGGACTGAAATTGAAGGTCGCAAGTCACTCACGAGCGTGGCGGAGAGCATTTGGGCGGCAGCAGGGTCTGCTGGCACGGATGTGGCGGGTGGAGGCGGTGGAGGTAGTGACGCTGGTGACATTGCACTGGGACAGCTCTCCACCAGCTGGGGAGATAGAACACAGAGAAATGAGAAGGATGAGGAAATTGGAAAGCATGAGAAAGCGGGAAAATGAAGGGTTGGGAAAATGAAGGCTGTTTAGCACACACGTGCACTGAGCACACACACCACAAACATCACACTCACCAGGCGAATGATTTGATGAGATCTCGAGCTTGCATCGTTGAGGGACGTCTCGCCCACCTCCCTGTGCGCCGCACACTGCACCAGCAGCTGCTGCAACTCGCCCTTGGACTCCACGCCCACCTCCGTCAGTCGCTCCACCACTGTGCCTCTCTGCGTGCAGGGATGGCGGGAGAAAGGCGGGGGGAATGAGCGTATTTACTCTGTAATTTCAGACTGTGAGAGTACATCGTATTGGTAATTGGGTCGGCAATTGACATGCTGGAAAGGACGCTTTGGGATTCATCAGCTAGTTGTACAAGGGTATCGTCATTTTTTTAGGTACCCTGAATTAGATTGAAACACTCCAAATTCACGGATTGCGTGGTTACCTCGGGATCATCGAGGAGCCTGAGGGGCCCGGAGTCAGGGTTGAGGAGGTCCCTGACAATCTCGTTGTAGATCTCAATGGCTGACAGCTTCACCTGGAAGCTGCGATGCGGGTTCTGCTCACATATGCACATCGCACATGCATGTTCACATACAGATACACACACAGCTGACATTCTGAATGTCCGTGATGACACAACCGACGTTGTTGATTTCCAAGAAGTGAACTGGTGATAATGAAGTTTATCATTATATGCGACGTTCTGAAAGTGCATGAACAGAACCAATCGTCAGTGCCTACGAAAATAAAACTGGAAGTGGCAGCGTCCATAAATGAATCTGACTCTGTGAATGTCCATGACAAAACTTACATTGTGATGCCCGTGAAGACTGACTGACACTGACTGACACTGACACTGACACTGACTTCGTGAGTGTCTGAAGTTAACTGACGTTGTCAATGTTCAACAAAGAATGTGAACCTCCATGAACTCAGCTGACAAATTGCTCACGGATTCAGCTGATTTTCCATAATTTCAGGTGCGTGCTCAGAAAATGGCATTGAAGATCTCCATGACATCGCGAACGTGCATGATAAAAACCGACATTGAGTATGTCCATGGAGAGAAATGAAGGTGTTAATGTCCGTGAAATCAAGTGACAGAATCAATGTCTCTGGAAAAAAAAAAACAAACAAACAAACTAACAGTGTGAATGCCCGTGACAAATATTGACACCGTCAATGCCTGTGAGAAACTGTGGGGAAGTCCATCAAAATCAACTCACACTCCGAATGTGCGTGAAGATGTCGCAAGCAGCAAGATCAGTAACAGCCTCCATGGTGTAAGTCTTCCCACTGCTTGTCATACCATACGCAAAGATCGACGCTGGCAACACAGAAAGAGCAGCAACACAGGAAACAGAGACCACGTAACAATGAACGCTCCTGCTGATCATGCGCCCAGGTTAAACAAATGAATTCACCAGGCCGTAGTACGAATGCTGCGAGGCAAAGAACGCACCGTTGATCCCGGACAGCGCTGACAGCACAATGTTCTTGGCTCCTTCCTCGTAGACCCGATCCGACGGACACGCGGGACCGAACGCACGGTCTGCAGCATGACAAGGGTAAGAGTTCAGTAATCAGTAATGCAGTCCTCCATGCTCCCTCAAAAATCTTTACTAGCGTCACGCTAGTAGAACGGTGCTGACCGCGGAACGGTGCTGCTTGCTCAAGCAGGAAGGACGTGTGCTATCTGAGGTTGAATAGTCTTGAAATGAGAGAAGATGGACAGATTCGAGCGCTTACCGAAACTGTAAGCGGCTGGGTACGGCGACCGTTCCGGAAGCGGCTCCAGGAAATGGAGCGTGTTGGGTTCCTGAATCCGCCACACTACCCTATCCCCGCTCGCCGCCTCCTTCCTGTTCAACGGTCGCACGCGGACCGACACGAAGATTTTCTCCGACGTGGCTTTGAGCCCAACGCTTGCTCGCGGCACGGGTGCGATAGCCGCCTTAGCGTCGACTACTACGGGCGAAGGGGTCGCTTTCATGGTGTCTGGGGGAATGCTATCCGGCGCTAGGCTGGAATCTGGCTCCATCTGTACGTCAGGTCGCGTGTCGTGACTGAGCTTCCATCGCCTACTGGGAAGCTCTACGCTCTGAAATCTCTCGGGCTCGGAATTTACAGTCTGGCTGCTAAATATGGCTCGACTAGGAGCTCTTTCGAGGTCAGTAAGCTCGGATTGGTCTGGAAAATATAGACTTCCACACGAGGACAAGCTCATCTGGCAGATGTCAGAATCGTCCATTGTGAAAGTAGATCAATCTGAGTTAACTATTTGGTGATTTCACACGCATGGTTCTGCTGAAAAGGTCCTTCGCAAGCTGTCGTTGTAGGTGGTAGCAACAGAAGTCAACGATTTATGCTAAGCGCTGTATGAAAGGCCATCACATGGCTCTAGACAGTCTGTGACGGTGCTGAATTGTTTGAAGACGGCCTCGTGAACAGGATGTCAAGTAGCTTTGAGCGAATGTCGGTTTCCTAGGCCAAGACTCACGACGACTTCAAGACTACGACGTGTTACTGGAATGCAAGAATCGCGTCGAAAGGTTGATACGGCCGTTGGGTTCACGAATCGCGTAGGCCGAGCGACGGCACGCCATGGACTAAACTCGGAGCACCCTTCGCATGACCACATGATCTTGTTGCCTCACTTTATTTCGCTGAATTTTTTCGTGGAAAAAGGAACAATATGAAGCTGGAACATCCATCTGCGCCGATCCATATCCATCATTGTTGCGGCAACTTGTGGTTCATGGATGGTTCCTTTTCATGTTGATCTTACTCCAGGATGGATTATCAAACGGTTTAGTACGCTATACCGCTTTCAGAAGCGGCACAGTGGGGTCTAAAGTTCAACATCAGTGACATGGTGACGGCAAGGAAGAAAATCCGCGCCTTCTCACTGTCTGGTCGTGGAGGTCCCCGATTCCAGCTATGCGGAGATGTTTCCCCCGCGAGCCCTTCTTCGTGGGGGGGTGGGGGTGGTCCTGACTCGTGCATAAATTCTACAGTACTAGATTCCTCCAACGGATGGCAAGGATGGCGAGACCCGCATGGCATGCGATGGCGTGGGGTTCATTGAGCGACGGCAAGCGGCTAATGTTCTGCAGAATAGATTGCCAGTGCGAGGCGACCAAAGCATGCCGAGCGATTTCTCGGCTGTCGTGGACGTGATCCTGCGAACTAGCCGCATCGCATTCACAACACCAGGGCGCTGTTTCCATGCTCGTAGGTGCGATTCGACATGCTTCATGTGGAGTGGCATGCATCCATGAAAGGCCAATCACCTTGCTCCTTTGGGGGAACCATGAAAGCTTCGTGATGGCGCGAAACTCCATTCCACAAGACTCATTTGGATAGGGGGGGTGCCGTGCTGGTGTGTGGCAAAAGTAGCTGGCAACCAGGACTGCAGGCTAAAGGCTGTCCCGCTTCTAAAATACAATCTCTTCATGCACAAGACTTATTATAATTCACTGAACCTACATCATTTGTGTCTACGACCATCAAGCTTTAACAGCGCAGTCGGGATATGCATGTGCAGCTTATAGACAATTTTTTTGTTAATGCAAAATCTCTAGCAGCACTTCATATCAGGAGAACACACATAGGGCCAACCGTCCTACCCGACATCTGCACACACATTTTACCTGTAGATGCATACAAGATGAAGTCAGGAGATCATGTCACGGAAGAGGAGAGCAACACCAGGGAGCGATGTACCGGGAGGGAGGGTGGGGTTTGGTGTGTGTGCAAGGACTAAGCTTCGTGGGAGGAATGTCGGTGAGTAGACGGAAAAGAGAGAAGGGACGGGACATGAGCAAGATAGGTGCGCGATTAGAGGGAGTGGCGTAGGAGGATAGAAAATAAGAGTGGCGAAAAGCGTGAGAGTGTAAGAGGTGAGGAGATAGCGAGATGCGGGGAGAGCATACGTCAGTGGCGTAGAGAAGCTGTGAGCGCCATGAAGAGCATGGGAGTGGTAGATGAGGCGTGGGAGTTCTGGAGGGAGCGTGGGAGTGGTGGAGAGAGCGTGGGAGTGGCGGAGGGAGCGTGGGAGTGGCGGAGAGAGCACGGGAGTAATGGAGAGAGCGTGGTAGTGGTGGAGAACGTGGGAGACACGGAGAACGTAGGAGGCACGGAGAACGTGGGAGGCACGGAGAACGTGGGAGGCACGGAGAACGTGGGAGGCGCGGAGGAAGAAAAGAGTGGCGGAGAGACTCTGTAGGCGCAAAAAGAGGGGGGGCGGGATGTGGGAGAGCGTAGGAGGTTTGAAGAGCGCGAGAAGGAAGGCGAGGAGAGTGTGAGGGGCATGAAGAGTGTGAGGGGCGTAGCGCGGGAGGGGCGGACGAGAGACAAGAGTCGCAGCGAGCGTGCGAGGTGCAGAGAGCATGGTTGGGAAGCGTGAAGGGGGTGGTGGAGATACCGTAATCCCCCGTATATAGGACTCCCCCCAGTTGTAGACCCTCGGGTCTATAATACGGCACCGGGTACTCTATTCGTGTACATCTGAGTTATACCCCCCCAAATGGCCCCTAACATTATAAGACCCCCCCCACTGTCAAATGTTGTAGCCTATAGTGAGGTTTGTCTTAGGGGGTACAAAACTTAGGGTTAGCTATATGTACCCCAACCAACATCAATGCATCATCCATTCCTCATTCTGACATGGTATCAGTTAGGTTAGGATCCTGTGGGATCCCGTTCCTCCGTTCTCCGTTCGTATCTCCCGAGCCTGATCCTACCTCTCGTTCGTACCGGTTCCGTTGTTACCGCGCCTAGTGCCGAGCCTAGCGCCCTTCCCCCCGTCGCCTAGCGCCCTTTCCCCCCCGTCACGTCGCGCCCTTTTCCCCCGTTGCGTCGCGCCCATTCCCCCCCGTCGAGTCGCGCCCTTTCCCCCCGTCGCGTCGCGCTCTTTCCCCCCGTCGCGTCGCGCCCTTTCCCACCGTCGCGTCGCGCCCTTTCCCCCGGTCACGTCGCCCTGCCCCGTCCCGTTGCCCCTGCCCCGTCCCGTCGCCCTGCCCCGTCCCGTCCCGTCGCCCCGTCCCGTCCCGTCGCCCCTGCCCCGTCCCGTCCCCGTCCCGTCCCGTCGCCCCTGCCCCGTCCCGTCCCCGTCCCGTCCCGTCCCGCGGCCCTGCCCCGTCCCGTCCCGTCGCCCCGTCCCGTCCCGTCCCCCCTGCCCCGTCCCGTCCCCGTCCCGTCCCGTCGCCCTGCCCCGTCCCGTCGCCCCGTCCCGTCTCCCTACCCCGTCGCGTAGCCCTCCCCCGTCGCGTCGCCCTGCCCCGTCGCATCGTGCCCGCCCTTTCCCCCGTCCCGTCGACCCTACGCCCTGGCCCGTCGCTCTAGCCCGCTCTTCCGCTGCGACTAAGTCCCACCTGAACCCTAATTTGCCTCTTACCTCCTGCGGTTACTCGCCTGCTCGTTCGCGTTAGTTTTCGCTATGGCGACTCCGCGAGTTCTTCGTTTCGACGCTGACGGCAGACCTCTTGACTTTTCCGTCTGGCTCCTTCGCGCTCGCCGTCTGTTAGAGAGTCAAGTCCAGGGGGGCGAGACCCTCTGGTCGCACGCTACTGGTGACCTCCCCGAGCCCCCCGAGCCTGCCGCTTTAGGTCCTGCCCCTGACGATGCTGCTACGGCTCGCTTTGCCCGTCAGCGCGCTGACAGGACGGCTTGGACGTCGCGTGACGCTGCGGCCTGCATCGCACTCAGCAGCCTCCTCCCTGAGTCAGAGGAGGTCCACTTCACTCAGGTTCGCACTGCTGCTGCGTACCTCACTGCGATTAAGGCCCGCTACTCTACTCCCGCTACTGTCTCTCTTGGCCGTCTTTTCCTCCCGTTCCTGTTTCCTGATCTCGCCTCGTTTGAGCGCTCTGCTGACTTGATCGCTCACCTCCGCTCGCTCGACGCTAGTTACCGCGCTGCTTGCACTGAGGCACAGCTTGCACTGCTTCCTCCTCCCCCTCTCCTCCCGTCTCTGGTCCTCCGCTTCCTCCTCCTGACCCCTCTCCCGCTGTTTTCCCTCGTTCTCAGTCTTCGTTGTCTCCTCCTCCTTCTCAGACTTGGGCCTCTCGTCGCTCCCCTCGTGCTCGTCCCTCGTCTCCTGTTCCCTTCACTGACCTTCGTACAGCCTTCCTTTGTTCTCGTCCACCTCGTCCGTCTCCGTCTGTGCTTCCGTCTCCTCCTGAGTCGGCCCTCACTGTGTCGCTTCCTTCTCCTGTCACTGACTACTACCGCACGTACCGTCCTGTTCTCTCTCGTGTTCTCGCCTCTCTTGTTACCCACCCTCGTGCCTCTGTGTCCTCTGTGTCCGCTCTTACTGCCGCAGTCACTGAGTTTGCCTCTACCCGCCGCCTTGACTTCGCCACCGCTCTTGTGGCAGCTCCTCCTTCTAGTCCTCTGGCCGTCGGGGGTGTGTCTGCCCTTGGCTGTGACGCCCTAGAGGACAGGCAGTTTGAGCTAGAGTTCCTGGCGGCCGCTTCCCCTCATCTCTGTGCCATGCTCCTCGCCCCTGAGGGTGACCCCGACGCCCTTGACATTCCGACTCCTCGCACTTACGCTGAGGCAGTGTCAGGGCCTTGGGCCTCTCAGTGGAGAGCTGCCATGGACGCAGAGATGGCCTCCTACAGATCCACAGGCACCTACGTCGATGAGGTTCCCCCTCCGGGGGCGAACGTAGTCGACGGCATGTGGATCTACAGGGTGAAGCGGCCACCGGGATCTCCTCCGGTCTTCAAGGCGCGCTACGTGGCTAGAGGTTTCAGTCAGCGCGAGGGAGTTGACTTCTTTCAGACCTTCGCGCCCACCCCGAAGATGACCACTCTTCGGGTGTTTCTACACGTAGCAGCACAGAGAGACTACGAGTTACACTCTCTCGACTTCTCTACTGCTTTCCTTCAGGGCAGTCTTCACGAGGAGGTCTGGTTGCGTCGTCCCTCTGCCTTCACTGGCTCTTTCCCTCCTGGGACCCAATGGAGGCTGAGGCGACCGGTTTACGGTCTTCGTCAGGCTCCTCGTGAGTGGCACGACACCCTGCGTTCTACCCTGTCTGACCTTGGGTTCCAGCCGTCTTCTGCTGACCCGTCGCTGTTCGTTCGTCGTGGCCCCACACCTTTCTTTGTTCTGGTCTACGTTGACGACCTTGTTTTCGCCACCCCTGACAGGGTTGCTTTGGCACACGTGAAGTCCGAACTGCAGAAGAGACACACCTGCACTGATCTTGGTGAGCTGCGCCACTACCTTGGCCTGCAGATCACCAGGGACAGAGCTGCTCGCACCATTACACTTTCACAGTCGCACATGGTGCAGCAGGTCCTTCAGCGGTTCGGGCTTCAGCACTCCACAGTACAGCGCACACCTCTTGCTGTTGACCACAGACTCACTGGACCCTTTCCTGACGAGCCGTTCGAGCCTAGTGGTCCCTACGCAGAGCTTGTGGGTTGCCTCATGTACCTGATGACTTGTACTCGCCCGGACCTCGCCTTCCCTCTCAGCGTTCTTGCGCGCTTTGTTGCGCCAGGGAGACACCGTCCTGTTCACTGGACAGCAGCTGTGAGGGTGGCGAAGTACCTAGCGACGACGTCAGGCGTGGGGCTAGTTCTTGGAGGGCAGCAGTCTGTCGTACTTACTGGTCACTGTGACTCCTCTTACGCTGACGACGCTGAGACTCACAGGTCTACTCAGGGGTACTGTTTCAGCCTGGGTTCTGGAGCTGTTTCCTGGCGGTCCACGCGCTCCTCTTCGGTCTCGACCTCTACAGCTGAGGCTGAGATCTACGCTGGTGCCATGGCGGCACAGGAGCTGCGTTGGTTGACCTTCTTGCTCACCGACCTTGGTGAGCGGCCGAGCTCTGCACCGACCTTGTTCACTGACAACAAGGCGTCTATTCTCCTTTGTCGAGAGCCACGACTGGAGAGCAGAGTGAAGCACATTCACGTCAGGTACTTTCTTCTGCGAGAGTTGCAGAGGCGTGGACAGGCTCGCTTTGAGTTTGTGGAGTCCGAGGCCAACACTGCAGACATCTTCACCAAGGCGCTTCCGCCTTGTGACCACCAGAGGTGCTGTGTGCAGTTAGGCCTTGTTGACACTGGTTCTCGTGTTGCTTAGGCTTGAGTGTACTGTTTACTTTGCTTTCTATATACCTCTGTTACTTCTTGGACTGGCCTTGTGGCCACTGTTGTTTGTGCTCAGACTGTGTGGTGACGTTGTGATCCACCCTGAGCTTCGTTTCTTGGACTGGTCTTGTGACCGTACTCGTTTGGTTCTGCTAGACACCCCTCACTTAGGCTATGGGGGTGTGTCAAATGTTGTAGCCTATAGTGAGGTTTGTCTTAGGGGGTACAAAACTTAGGGTTAGCTATATGTACCCCAACCAACATCAATGCATCATCCATTCCTCATTCTGACACCCACATCCTAGAGAAGTGCGGATTTTACAAAGATGCAATTGAAAATGGTCAAATTCAGTGTTGATTAACACAAATCGCACCCATGAACACACATGCACACCCACATTACCACCCTAATGGACACCAAGTGGTGTTGGTGGCCAATGGGAGGAGGCTCCCAGATAGGGTTCGTGATGACGTGGGTTCGGCCCGTGTGGAAACCAATTCGAGTATATTTGGCAGGAGCTAAAAACGGAGCACTTCCAAATCACTACTTTGAGCTCCAAAACTACATTCTTATAAATGTCAATATGAACAGACCCGGGTCTTCTAAAAAATACACCATGTAATTATACCCCCCAGCCTATTTAGGGGTGATTATCATAAGACCCTAGGGTCTTATATACGGGGGATTACGGGTAGCGTGAGGGATGCGAGGACCCTGGGAGTTGCAGAGAGCGTGGTAGTGGTAGAGTAGAGAGCGCAGAGGCACGGACATGTCAAACTAGGTAGTTTAGGAGCCTTGGGGTTTAGGTTAGGAACAAGAGAGTTGGCCCAAGAGAAGAGGGTTGCAATAACATTGGGAGTACAAGTTATAGGAAAAGGGAGGTGGTGAAAGGAAATAGACCACCTAAAGACAAGATATGGTGATACTACACTTCCTACGGTAGCTAGACATGCAATGCAATTATATAGGAATTGTATATTCTGACAGGACGAGAGAAGAGAGTGGCAAGGCATGATGGTGCAGAGGGAGTGGATGACATGGCGAGAGTTGGAGGGATGGAGTGAGCTTAGCGGCACAGAGATTGCAAGAAACACATAACATAAGAGGTATGGTTGAGTGAGGAGAGTGATGGAGAGAGCGTGAGCAACCCAGTGAGCATGGGAGGTGCAGTGAGTTGCGAAGAGCATGGGAGTGGTAGTTGCGTTGCTACTGTTCAACGCATTGAAGAATGTGGATACTCTTTCAACAATGCAACCTAAAGTCTGCAGCATTCCGTGTGTGCTTATCAGGGCTTCGATAAGAACTATCACATGCCAAGCTCTTAATTGGATATATGAACCGTCACATAGTGGCAGCCAACCCGGCTACCTAACAACCCTAAACTGTCTATGTGGTTCGGGACTGAGGCCTCCTAACCCCACAAGCCTCAGATATCATCGCCACTTTGCTCAAGCAGGCAGCTTCGTGCCTTTCGGGAATTGAGGCTTGTCAACCCCGTGCGCGATGAAGTAAGGCCCCACGTACATTTGAGGCTCAACCACAGTGCTCCACGTGGCACGCGGGAAGCCCACCTGACCCAGCATGATATTCGGCCCCTTGGGCGACATTTTAACAAGGTTCAAGCCCTTGAGCTGAGTCGGGAGCAGCTGACCCTTCCTTATAGCTTGAAGCTGGGTCTGCGTGTACTTGGTCGCAATAATCTGGACGGCAGTGAGGTTGTAGGCAGTTTCGGTGGAGATCTTCTTGCCCTTGAACCGCTTCGCTAGCGCGTCAGCCACAGCGTCGCTCATCAAAAGGAGCGTGGAGTTCTTGAGCGCGGTGAAGTTGTATCTGGAGTTCACTGCAACGGGGATAAACGGGAATACCGAAGAAATGCGCAGAGAAGAAGCGCGTCAGGGAAAAACAAGTGGTGCTATCGGAAAGGTACGGAGTTCCCAAGGCTGTCATCGCAGCGCAACGCCACTACTGATGTGGACAAGTGCATCATATGATCGCGATTGATTAGGGAGTGTTCACCTCGTTTTCCTGACCAGCTAATTCGTTCAAGGACAGGATTTCAGAGCACCGTTTACCGATTTTTCCGAAGTACAAATCCCGGAAGTTTTGAGTCTTCGAATACTCACATGCGACATTGATGGCTCTGTTGACTTGCGCTGAGTACTTGGCGTATTTGGGGTACTTCTTCGTAATCGTCGCCGTTAGCTTCTTCAGCTCGGCGCGCAGCTGCGTCTTCGTCGGCGGTGCAGCGCCGTCAACGCTGACGGCCGACAGGCAGACGACGGCCGCGAGGACTAGCGTAAAGGCCAAGATAATTGACCGAGCCATGGCTTTGCTCCGCCTGCTTTAATTTAGAAACTAATCCGCGAGTTGCGGTGAGATCTCGAGTTTGCTCGGGAAAATGTACGGGAGCTAGAAATGTAAAGCTTGCAACTTGGGAACTAGTGGATCCTAATAGAATCTAAGGCAATACTGGAAGATGGTGATGTGATGGATTGGAATGCTGGTTGGTGTTTCGAATGTCAGGTCTCAGTGGTGATATATAGAAACGCACGGCCTGTGCAAGCCGAGACACACGAGTAACGGGTCACGACTCGCTACCAGGAGTCCTTCCTGGTCCGCCTAATCTGTCGGCAGTCTTTTCGGAGCGTCGCGCTGTAAATACGAGAAAAGCGGCGCCCTGCGAATGAGCCTCCGAGTTCAGCATGGCCGTTTCTTTCCGACCGTCAAATGCGACCCCATGCGACCAGCACGGCAGTTTCTTCGCTGCCCTCCACCTCCACCCCCCCTTTCCCTTCCTCCCACCCTCTCACCGTTCGATTCGAGCAATTCCCCTCGGTTTGTGGGGGCCAGGCCAAACAGAGGGCCTCACTTTTTCGAATACAGTACAAGAGCCTGATCGTACAGTACCGGAATATCAGGTTAGATTTGCTCGTTCGGGGAGGGAATGAGAGGCAGCTAGGGCAACAGTGGTTTGGCGTGGGAAGAGCTGGAAAAATTCTAGTGCTGGGCATGACGAAGCGCGTCTCGGGAATCTAGGTTCGCGATAGGCTTGATTGGTTTGGCTCGGCGTGAGGGGCGACGCGTAACACAAGGCTTGCCATCGTGCAGAACGCGGCGGGGACCGACATCAAGGCTGAGAGAGATTTGAGACACCTAGCACGGCCTAGAGTTGTCGGTGCCGCGTTGCTGTGTGAACAGGGTTTGTATATAGAGTCCTACATCCGCATACTGACCAATTAAGAATACACATGTAAATTGATCTATCGAATGCACAGTAGCCAAGTAGCCTCCAATAAGATGTTGAGCCAAGGAAAGGGCATACCACAGGAAAAAGAGAAAAAGAAAAGAAAAATCCATCCGTAGCAAATATACTACCGTAAGATGATTGCAGCATCAGTCGTACAGTAATTGAACACGGATCTGAACTGGTACAGTTCCATATCTGGTAGTAATGGTGGTGCAAGGTGGCATTATTAGATAAATCCAAAGTTCATGTGAAATATTGCAAAGGTTAGCAATACAGAGGGGTTTGGATCTGGTCTAAATATACAGGGTGACACAGTCTGACTCTGACCTCTGGTAGGTATGGTAATATTGTCCATGTACCTAAGGTGTTGTTTTCATGCACCACCACCATACGCCAGCCTGCACCCACCCTTCACTATGGATGAGAAACTGTTGGCTTGACTATGAAGGTACCTTGGATAAGTACTCAGGTGAGTGGGTGGGTGCCATCAAGTGGCGGGACCATTACAGCAATGAGGGCTGAGGTACGGTAATGGAAGAGGAGATTGTATGGTACTTCTCAACAGACAAAACTTGTCAGCTCCTGCGACCTAAGAATCCTTGCAAAATTAGGATATCTTCAGTGGGAGTCTTTTTTTTTTTTTTTTTTAATACCTCAGCCCCAGGTTGCCATGGAGTTGATAGGATAATAGAGCAACACAAGGAGCAACATAAGGAGCCTGCATCCGACTGCATTGAATTTGCTCACTTCAACGCAACATTGACTGTGGCGGAGGTGGCAAGCCTCTTGCTTGAAGTATCCGCATGTTTTCTTCATAGCCTGCAAAGGAGCCCAAGACACTTTCGTGAATGCACAGACTAGGACGTACTTTCCAGAATTCCATCTGATACCACAGAAGCAAGCGAAGCGACCAGGTGTGAAAAGCGTACCTCGTTTTGGGTCCCATCCTCGATTCTTGAGCTCTCTAATTTCTTGAGCGATAGAACAGCACAAGCAAGCGCAGTGCATTAAGCAGTCACCGCAAGGCCGCGGAGGTAAAACGTATTTCTGTCGTAGCTTGTTCCGAACTCCTGTCAGTTCAGTGGATTCACCGAGTCAGTGATAAGAAATGTGGTGCAAGACGGAAAGAATGGACGAAGCATGAGAATCTCCGTTTAATTACTTGCTCGCTTTCAAAAAGAAGAATACAGAGGCCCTTACCTTGAGAATAAAGGCATCCAAGCATTACTAATTGGAAGAAGAAGAATAGACAGCACGATGTCGTGGCATCTGTTCAAAGTGAGCCAATAAGAGAACAGAATGAATCTTGAGCTGACTTCAGTTGAAGAAGATAGCGAGCTGTTTATTTACATACTGAAAGACGCAATTCATTGAGAACACGAGAAAAGGCAATGCGGCTATGCGATAGTGGGAGATCGTAAGCGCAGCTAACCTGACTCGCCGTCAGTGACGATTTCTGTTGTTCGCCCCACGAGGACGCACGGACAAAAAAGCGCACAGCACGCTGGTCACACGATAATAAACGGACACAGAGAATCGAAATTGTCAGCAACATGAGCGTACGAACTGCTGAACAAGCTATCTAGAAGTAAGACCTGTTAAACGAAAGCACGACACCGTAATCAGGAACCACGCTGGGGAACAGGCACCGACGGCATGATAACTGCATCTCAGTGTTGAAGGACCTACTGGTTGCACAGTCTTCATGGCAATCCGTGCATGACGTCGTCCAGTCACCTATAGGCACACCGTATCCCATCCTGCGGTCAACTAACGCGAATCTGCTTCACCTAAGTTGTGCAATAGTTACTACGCAGAACAGCAGCTGCAAATTCTCGGAACAGGTCCTCTACAGGCTGCTACCGCCTAATGTCGTTCCGGATGTCTTCGCATATAGTACATAGTACAGCCAAAAGTTCCAGACGCCTATTTTACTTTCAACAAGTAGTTTAGTTGCCCAAACCCGATGATGGATTCGCCTAAAAGACGTAAGCGGAGAGACGACAGGACAGGAGACGATACACAGCAAAACGCGCTTTGTTTCTCCAGTCAAGTATGTCTGTCTCTCTCTGTCTCTGATGCCTTCTCGCTGACACGGGCAAACACGTTCTCGCCTGCACACAGAAATATCCCGTGATGCTTTGTGGATTGTCAGGTTCGGAGGGAGGGCGCCAGGGCAGGCTATGTATGTACTGTACTGACCAAACAGTCCGATTGGTGAAGTAGGCTAGTTGATTCGGACGGAAACTCCAACGAATCAGATTGGTTTAGCGATACCTCGAGCCTGACGAATGCGGGGAGCCATCGTGTTGTGCTGGCTGCTTCGAGCCATGCCAGCTGACAACGGCAAGGAGGGAGAGAGGTTTGACGTAGGTGCGGCAGGGCTAGCCGAACCAGATCGGGGGAGAGTTCAATTGCTGCTGGTCTGACTGACCAGCTTTCAAATGGCAATGAGGTGGGTATGGCCCATCTTCCTCACAGTTGCACAGTTTAGACTAAATCAAAGTATTAATCACGTTTCCGTTGCCAGTATGATGCAGTAGGAACAGCATGATTTCATAAAACCATTCAAGATTGCCAGATACTACAGAGACCACACAACACGCCCTACTAGCAGGACATGCCTTCAGCTTATGATGATAGAAGCCTCCTCCCTGAAAGCAGAGACAGGAAACGACGTGAGAAACCAGGACACCCACAACACAAGCATTATCACCCTAATCAATGCAAGACTTCAACCTCACCTTAGATCTTGTTGAAGGCCACGATGTCGCAGCTCTGAATGTACTCAGCGGCCTCGCCCTGGGTGAGGTGGTCCTCAATGAGCTCATCCAGCGACACAAGGTCGTCCACGATGGTCATCATGATCGTCATCTTCTTGATGCCATACCCGACAGGCACCAGCTTGGCTGTGTACCATAGCAGGCAAGGAACAGAGCGGACAAACATTGCAAGGGTTAAAGGGTGATGCAAATGAGCAGCAACCCAGATCCTCTCAAAGCGAGTCTGCAGAGGACCTCAGAAAGCCACACCTTCTGACTGAAACTCCAATCAAAGCCTCTCATCTAATCAAAGCCATTAAACTCCAAAAAGATTTCAATGAGTGCACAGAGTGAAAATGAGAGAAGGAACGGGGAGGGTACTCACAGGCGCCCCAGAGCAGGCCGTCCATCTCCACCTTGCGCACGGCCGCCTCCAGCTTGGCCATGTCCGTCTCGTCGTCCCACGGCTTCACGTCCAGCAGCACCGACGACTTGCCGCCTGCCACACACGCAACACGCACACCACAACAGTTCAGCCACATGGCAGTTTGCATCGCATGTCATCGAAGCCCCAACAGTACAGCCACAGGCGGAAAACCAAGAAGATTTACGTAGCATGGTTTAGGCAGGCGGACAGGCGGATACTCACTCTCCTTCTTCTTGCCCGACGCGGCCGCCTTGGCCTCACGCTCGGCAGCGGCGGCCTTCTCCTCCTCCGTGGCCTCGCCGAACAGATCCAGATCGTCGTCGTCCTCCTCGTCCTGCCACCACCACACGGCCGCACGCATGAGCAAGGGGGTGTTTGGGAAGAGGGGGAGGGTTTAATGACCTAGATTGCCTCCCCAAACAAAAATTCCAAAAGGCAGCATGGCGGCCGATGACCGCAACAATGCGTGGTGGGACTTTGAATTCTGTCTTTTGAATGCCTTGGAGGTTGTCGCGTGTGACGAGACTCTTAAGATTGTCTGGTGCGGAAACTGTCAGCTCCAAGCCAGAACTAAGCTTCAAGCATCGGCTGCAGCACGCCAGTCAACAGCACACTGCACGATGCACGCGGCATGCTGTCACTCGCTATGCGGTCCCCTTTACAACACATGCACTCAACACTCTCGCGCACGGTCAAGAATAAGGACAGCGTTGGATCGTCACACGTCAGTCACTCCAAGGCCTAACCCTGACATGCATTAGGGTATCAACCAGATCCACGTCAGAGTGCCAGCCGCGCACCTCTGATAATTAGGGTGTGAAAACCGACGTACCTCAGCGGGCTTGGCCTCGGCAGCGGGAGGAGTGGCGACAGCTGCGGTGGGAGCAGCGGCGGCAGGAGCAGCACCGCCAATCACGACACCGACGCCGGGGCCAGCGAAGCTGGAAACAGGAGGATCGAAAGTAAATAGCGGGCGGACGGGAAGATCAGACGCGGGACGAAATGGCATCGAATGACGCGACGATACGATACAATCGTCAAGGAGCCGCCCCAGAAATCGAACATTTATGAGAGACCAAAGATGAGGTATCGCCGCGGACGGAAGGTGCGAATCTCACAATTACAGATCGGCGACAGAAATAGGACAATCATCGATCAGAGGTGAAGTCCAGACATAAGGATACCGACTTTCCAGATAGGTTCTTTACTATTTAAAAACCGCAGAGACAAGAACGTAGAGAACGACTCACTTTGCACCGAGCAGCGCCTTAATGTGGGTGTACCACCGTGCCGCGTTGGTGTAGCCCTTGGGGAACGACTTAAGCGCGCTGTAGACCGTGAGGTCATCGCGGGACGCTTGGAAGCTGCGAGGCAAGAAGAGATCGGAAAAGAAAAGGCGGAGCACGCATGTGCACAATTAGGGAAAGGAGCAGCGAGAAGAAAATAGCAGGGACGAGGGGAGAGCGAGATGCGATGAAAAGCGGCGTTTAGTGAAATGGGGCGGAAAACGCGGAGACGCAACTAGATCCAGCGTCAAGAGTCTCAACGAGGCAAACCCTGAACCCCCTGAAGGAATGCATACCCCGAGATGTAGCTGCGGGTGAGGAGGTACTCGTCAAGCTGCTTCAGACCATCAGGGGTCGACAGATCACCGATAGAGATCGCCATTGTGGGGGAGGTGTGTGCAAGTGAGCCAAGACGAGATACAGCTGAGCTGTGATGGGGAGTCGGAGACTGAAGGAAAGAATCAATCGGAAATAGGGGGAGGTGATCGTCTCTTTAAAATTGACACTTAAAAACTTATTACCTCTGACACCACGGGGATGTAGCTCAGATGGTAGAGCGCTCGCTTAGCATGCGAGAGGTACGGGGATCGATACCCCGCATCTCCATTTTCGCCCAGTCTTGCAACACCTGCTTTATCAATTTCTTAGCACCTCAATCGGATAAGACCAGGGAACTGCTTTTTTCCATGTCTAAGAGATGGGAAGATTAATCTCCATGTGTAAGAGATGGGAAGATTAATCTCCATGTGTAAGAGATGGGAAGATTAATCCATACATGAGTACAAAATCAAGAGCCACACAGGCATGTGTCATATACAATATCATGGTAGTTCTCCTCCTCTCCTCCACCGCTTCAACCCTTGTTCATCATCTTCTCATCCCCCTATAATGCTTGCCAGCCCTAATGCACTCCCTTGCAGCTGTTGTCGCCCTGCTTGAGGCTTCCCACACCATGGCACAGCACACACTATGACATGTCATGCCATGGTCTTCACAACCATATGCCATGCCATGCCATGGCCTTCACAACTGCATGCCATACCATGTCATGGTCTTCACAACCACATGCCATACCATGTCATGGCCTTCACAACCACATAATATTTCATTCCATGCCATGGTGTTCACAACCACAGCATGCCTTCCCACACCAAGGTCCCGACAACACTGTAAGGCAACAAGCATGCAATGCCATATAGCATGACACAACACACAGCATGCCATGCCACACAGCATGGGACAACATACAGCATGCCATGCCACACAGCATGGCACAACACACAGCATGGCACAACATACAGCATGCCATCCCGCACAGCAAAGCACAACACACAGCATGCCATTCTATACCATGAATCAATCTAAATACCAAGAGAATGTACCACAGCATGCCATGCCATAAACCCACCCACCCTGGACAACCCATCCAACCCATCCAGACGCCCACACATTCTCTTCCACTCATCCACGCTAGTACATTCAGCCTCATTCCCTTCCCTTCAACCACACAAGATATTTCAGCCCCTTTCCTCTCACTCACCCAACCAAGAAAACGAAAACCAACAGCAACAGCAACGAGTGACGCTCATTCGTTGCTAAGTGGGAAGATCGGATCCTGCTGCGCTGCTGCCTCGCTGCTTCAGTCGCTCGCGATAACCCCCCCATACGGCTAAGTCCCCTCCCTTCTTCCCCTTGTCATCCTTACCGCTGATGGTTCGTGTTGATCATTACCCCCCTATTTACGCGATTTCCTCACAGCATGCTTCGAAAAAGAAGTTGAGTGAGAGATGAGCGGCGTTTTGGCGATGGTAGCGCATGGCACTGGGGCGGCTTGAGCTCATACTAGAGTTATAGGGGGATAGAGTAGACTGCATTCATATTCATGCCCGCGTCCCTTCCTTACCTCGTCCCCCTTGCCTGCTAGCTCGCTGCTCTAGTGCTGTGTGCTACCATCGCCTCCCCTTTCACAGCGTTTCGAATTCTGTTTTCGTTGGTCATTTGCTCGTGTTATCTCTGCCTCCTTGCACGCATTTCACTACTTTCATGCTTCTACTGACTACTTGGGTTCCTTTCCCCTGCTCTGTTTTCTTGCTCTCCTTCCCATCTCGTCTGGTGCTATGGCAGCGTGGTGCAGGGAGGGAGGGCGGTGGGATGACGCACGGCAGGCAGTCACAGCGGTGTGCGAGCCTTCTGGAAGCAATACGCCACTGTCCTGCAAGCACCCCCATACGGCTAAGTTCCCTCTCCCTTCGCCCTTGCCATCCTTACCGCTTCTGCTTCGTGTTTATCATTGCCCACTTTTGTACCGCATTCTTCCGCCACCGCGTGCTCGAAACGAATGAGCCCATTTTCGAATGGGAGCGATCAAAAGTTTAGAGAGAGATGAGCGGCGTTTGGCGATGGTAGCGCATGGCTCTGGGGCGGCTTGAGCTCATACTAGAGTCGTAGGGGGTTAGAGTTGAATGCACTCATAATCATGCTGCGTGCCTTCCTTATTTGCCTGCTAGCTCGGCGCCCTAGTGCTTTGTGCTACTATCGCCTCCCCTTTCACAGCGTCACAGTGCCACGTGCTTTTTATCTTCAACTTTCGTTTCCTCTACTCATCGTTCTTGTTATCTCTGCCTCCTTGCATGCATTTTCACTACCATCTTTCTTCTTCTGACTACTTGGGACCTCTTGCTCTTCTTTGTTCCACCCATCTCGTCTGATGCTATGGCAGCGTGGTGCGGGGAGGGAGGGCAGTGGGATGAAGCGCGACAGGCAATCAGAGCGGTGTGCGAGCCTCCTGCAAGCCTGACGCCACTGTCCTGCAAGCACCCCCATACGGCTAAGTTCCCTCTCACTTCGCCCTTGCCATCCTTGCCGCTTCTGCTTTGTGTTTTTCATTGCCCATTTTTGTACCGCATTCTTCCTGTTCCACTGCTGCCTTCCATCCTTGGACTTTACTTCCTGCCTCCCGTATCCTTATCCCTATTCTCAACTCTATCGCTTGTTCCAGGCCAAGGGAGTGCGAGCAGCAAGGGGTGAGAAGCTCTCTGGTGAAAACCTCTTTCTCAGGGCAGCGCCTAACTAGGTACGCTAACCCCACTCTGACTACAGGGCAGCACCTAACTACAGGTACGCGAACCCTACTCTGACTACAGGGCAGCGCCTAACTACAGGTACGCTAACCCCACTCTGACTACAAGGCAGCGCCTAACTACAGGTGCGCTAACCCCACTCTGACTACAGGGCAGCGCCTAACTACAGGTGCGCTAACCCCACTCTGACTACAGGGCAGCGCCTAACTACAGGCACGCTAACCCCACTCTGACTACAGGGCCTATGCTTGATGCAAGCAGAAGAGGAGAACTAACTAGTAATAAGTGAAAGTATGCACACTGTCAAATAATGGAACTCGTAAGGAATCACAGCATGTGGTTCTAATGTGGGAATAGCTGGAATCATTCATTCATTTTGGTATGCTTTCTCTGCTGTGACTCTTGTTCTGTGGTGTTGTATAGATATAGGCTGTATGTTGTACCTCGTGACCTTGCCTGTGGTTGTAGATCTATTTGATTTTTTAGATAGAGAACAGAGGAGGAGCAGACAACGGTACATGCAGAGGAGGAGAGGGAGCAGACAAGTTACATTACATGCAGAGGAGGTGAGGCCTACGGGCGAGGCCAAGTTAATCGCATCGTCTTCTTATGGTAGTGCTGCTCGCTCAACAATCTTATTTTCTGCCCCCCAATTCCCCTTGTCGGCCTCTCTGTTGCATCTCCACTCCGTTTCTCGTTTCTTCTACCTCTGCTCCTCTTCCTTCAGATGCCTTGTCCCTTATTTCTTTTCTTCTCGTTCTTCACATTCCTTATTTCACGACTCTTCCTTCCCTCTTTCTTCACATGTCTTTTTTCCTTGTGTTTTCACCTTCAGGTATGATCAGCGGCAGTGGACGTAGCAAGATTTTGCCAGCAACATTGGAGAAGGTGGGTGCACAGAATCGCACGCGCTTTGAAGCCCTTTCTTGTGGTGGACTTCTGCACTCACCGCTTTTCTCTTCTGCACCACACATTCATGATACGCCAATACCCCTTCCAACCCCACACATCCTGTCCATGTCTCACAATTCTTTGCATTTCATGCCCGTTTCTCTCTCTGCCCTGCAACACAATTCTGCTGTGACTGTTTTTATTGCAATAATGGACCCAGAAGTTCCATCGTTAGCCTTTCACATGCTCAACTTTCTCTCCTCGCCATTCGTGTGCCTATCTCTATCTCGCTGCTTCTTTTGGGAGTGTTGTTGACATGACAGGATTGGATGGTGAGGCGGGGATTGCGATTGCCTGGTGGAACCTACTGGAGTGGCCAACTGGTGAAGAGCCCAACGTTGTTTGTGAAGGTGAGACAATAGCAACCGAGCACAGACTGAACCCAAGACACAGCATATCATCATATCATATCATATCATATCATATCATATCATATCATAACAGATCATATCATATCATATCATATCATTGCATAGCATAGCATAGCATATCATATCATAACGTATCTGCACATTGTGTAGGTATCCAAATCATGTAAATTATGTACCCCAATCCGACAACATCCACCATTTCATGTCCTATCTTGTCTCACTATGTAGAGAAGCTCAACTCTCATATGTCCACCTCCTCTCGTGTGCTTCCAGGACAACCGCAACAAGTCTGATTTAAAGCTGAAGAGCACATGCTTGCAAGTCGGAAGGTGATGAACATACCTTACATAGGAGTACCGGTAGATAGGCTATCTCGAGTAGTAGCACTCTCAGGTATGGTATCCCCCCCTCTCCTCCTCCTTGACCAACCCACCCACCCCGCCTTACTCCATCCCATCCCGTCCCTTCCCCTCTCCTCCAACCACCCCTCACCCCCCCCCCCCTCTTCGTAGAAATTTCCACCCTCCCCTCCCCTCTCCCCCTGACCCGAATCCCACCTGCTGCGTTGCCTCTCCCATCCCCATCCATTCCCCTGCGGGCCACCTCCCTCTCCGACCTCCACCCCATGTGACCTACCCACCTCAGCAACACCCTGCATAGGACTAACCACAGGCTACCCACAGGGCTAACCAAAGGTCTTGTGCCACGGGGCTTGCTAGACAGAGGGATTGTGAGTCATGGCACGCAAAACACAGGGATTGTGACTCATGGCATGCTAAACACATCGATTGTGCCCCATGGCACGCTAAACACAGGAATTGTGACTCATGGCACGCTAAACACATGGATTGCGACTCATGGCACGTTAAACACAGGGATTGTGACTCATGGCATGCTAAACACAGGGACTGTGTCTTGTGGCATGCGAAACATAGGGCTTGTGCCTTGTAGCATCCTAACCAGAAGGCTGAATGCATTTCCTAGATGTGCCTTCTCCCTGGTTCAGAAATAGTACTAACCAAGAGTATGTGCAAAGAACATTGAACACAGGGTTTGTGCATGTGAACACACCAGCACCATAACAGAATGTGCATCGGTCCCAGCCCTTGCTCACCAACATTATGCAGAACTGTTAGGAATAACGTGTAGGATGTAGAATTTTCGTCAGCACAGCTCGTAAGGTCGATGCTACTATTTGTAGGGAAGTTTGCTTTGGAGCGTACGGCGAAGCCCACTCTCCGCCACACATAATTTATCTGCGGCCGGATCAGCTTTGCCCGGATGTGCTGCCGAGCCTGCAAAAGTCACCCTCCCGTTTGTGACCACCAAAATCGAGGTGCTTCATGAGCCACGTATTTTATCCCAAACCTTCACGGGCCATGGAGGTTCGGTCCGTGGTTAGTGCCAGGATAGGCTCCTCTTGCAGTCGCCTTGCCTGATGAGATCAACCTTTTGGCCAACTTGTAAATTCGCGATGCTTTTCCAAGAACCAATGAAAGATCCAACGGCTGTGGTCGCTCCTGTTTTTGTGGCTGTGGCTCCTTGGGATTTTTGTGCCTGGCATGGCATGCACCGTGCGGAAGCACACTGGGCTTCTCTCGGGCTTCCAGATGATGTGCTTGCTTACCTACTGGCCTTGGTCACTCACTGATGCAACAAGAACCGAACTCGCCTCGCCTCAGCTCACCAACTGATGTTGATTTTTCACTGATATTTTGTTTCTGCTTGAAGCTTGCACAAAGCAGAAGTTGAGAATATCTTTAGCTTCACTGGATAGATGTTCATGGAATTGCTTCCATTCTTCTGCCTGGGTGGATCCTTAGCCTCCAGCCGAGCTGCATAACTCAGGCTCAACCAGATTGAGTCTGTGTGTCATGGATCCTCAGACTCAAACGCAAGGCACAATGGAGCCTAATCTCGAGGTACCGTCAAACGTCCCGGCAACAGCGGCGCGACCCGTATTCCCCGACAACCTTCGTCCCTTCCCGTTCCTGCTGGTCCTCGTCGGTCCGCCAGGCAGCGGCAAAAGTAGATTTGCTGGACTCTTGATCGCGGATGCCGCGTTACGATATGAGCGCGTTTGCCAGGTCCGCCTCTCTAACTGCTCGTCGATGCTAGGAAACAGAGAACCGTCAGTCAGGTTACTAAGAACCAAAGTTCTTATCACCTTAAGACAATCTTAAGTCCAAAGTTCGTTCTCTGACATGAAGATTTTCGAGCACAGCGTCGACTGCGATTGTTTGAGTCTTACAATTGCTTGAAGTGCCTCTGCTTGTGCCTATCGCATCTCTCTCGCTTATCTAACATGTCATCGGTCAAACCATTTGCGCATACCGGACGGTCGTTGATGCTCAAGCAATTCATAACGCATCAATTTCGCAACAGGAGTGTTGTGAAGTCTCAGTGAGTATGTCCGGCTCATGAGTCTGCATCAGTGTTCCGTTGCAGTCATTCGCAAGTATGTCCCCTTCCTAGTCTTTTCGGTTCTCAGCTGCTCGCGATGCAGATTCCACAGCCATCTTAGCCTCCCGTGACGTTTCTTCCCCATGCGGTTTCTGATTTCAGGACGTGGCGTCAGTGCGAGGGACACCTGGCACTCGGAAGCAGTGCTTGGCGCAAGTGAGTGGTTATCGTTGAAATTTTCAACCCAATTCTCTGGATATCAAATCCGTGCTCGCTGCTGAATGCTTGTTTCTTGTCACCTGTTATCGTCAGTGGTGTTGGTTGGCCTGAGCATACACGCTATTTCTACCGCCCTCCCGCCTCTCGCTCTTCGTTCTCACTCTCCCTCAATCACTCACCCACCTGGCAGGTGAGGCGGCACCTGCTATCCGGAGCGAGCGTGGTGCTGGACCGCTGCAACATGAGCGTGGAGCAGCGCGCCGAGTTCCTCGCGCTCGCGCGCGCCTGCAACGTGCACTCGCACGTGCTCGTGTTTGACCTCCCCACGGCGCTCGTCGTGCAGCGCGCGGTCAACCGAGTCAACCACGAGGGCGGCGTGCAGGTGAGAGGGGTGGAAGGGAGTTGAGTTGAATGATTGGAATGGAAGTAAGGTGTTGACTGAGTCAATCAGCAGGGCGGTGTGCAGGTGAGCGAGGTTTAAGGGTGAGAGGATCAGGTACAAGTGAGTGTGAAAGTCAGGATTTGACATGCCCATGCAGGATGTGTTGCAGAGGGCAATCAACCGAGTTAATCACGAGGGTTGATTGAGTGATAGTCACCTGGAGCACTCGTGGGCTTGTATGACCTCAGCTCGCACCCTCTCTGCCTCCCTGCGAATCCTCTGCCATCTTGCAGGGCCCCAGGGCTGCGAGCATCATACGGCACCAGATGAAGATGCGCGAGCCCCCTGCTGCAACAGAGGGCTTTCAGCGCGTCACTGTGTGCCACACTGACGCCCAAGTCGACCAGGCGCTCGCCTTCTACTGCGCCCTCCGCCCCTCGGATGTTGCTGTTAGTGGCGGTGGTCCTGGTGCTGCTGCTGGTGCCGCTGCAGAGGTTCCTGGTGTGCTGATGCAGCAAGGACCAGGGGAAGAGGAGCTAGACGCGCGGGTACGGGAGATGCAGCTGGGGCAGCGGACAGGGGGAGAAGAGGCGCAAACGCAGGGACAGCGAGCAGAGGGGGCGAGGCAGGGAGGACAGAAGGGGCTAGGGCGCGTTTATAAGCATGGGCCTGCAGATAGAGAGCGGGTGAGCAGAGACGCACCTTCCCACGCCATAGCGTGTAGCCGTGCTGCTGCTGCTACTGCTCCTCTCTCTGCTGCTGCTTCTCCACTCCCATCTACTGTAGGTGCTCCTCGTGTGTTGGGATCTGATCCTCCCTTTTCTGCTGCCACGCCAGGGACCGAGGAGCAACCGGCAGGAGGGAAGAGGGAGGAACATGGGGAGGGGAATGTGGAGGGGGATGGGGAGGGGGGAGGGAATGTGGCGGAGGGTGGGGGAGGGAGAGGAGGGTATGGGGACAGGGAGGGGGGGGATCTAGTGAAGGGCTGTGAGAAGAAGTGGGATGGGGAGGGAATGGGGAGGGTGGTAGAGAGAAGAGGAGAAATGGTGGACGATGGGGATAGGAAGAGACGGGCGAAAGAGGGAGCAAGAGGTGATGAAGAGCAGCAAAATGCACTGAGAAACCGAGAAGAAGTGGAGAAGAAGCAAATGCGAACCATGTGGTTCGGTCAGAGTCAAGGTGCGGCTAGCAGGGTAGACGTAGGCGTGGGAACAGTAGAGGCACGTGCTGCTGTAGCTGCGCCTGTAGCTGCGCCTGTAGCTGCGCCTGTAGCTGCGCCTGTAGCTTCTGCCATGCCTTCAGCAGAGGCAGTGAGAATTAGAGCAACGGAAGGTAGGAATATGGGCACGAGTAGAGTAGGCGATCGTGGCACTTCACAGGCTGGAGTGTATGATGTGAGGCGGTTCTTCTGTGCTAAATCGCAAAAGGAAGCTGCTATCAACAGGGATGCAGGGATGGGCAGCAGTGGAGGGAGGAGAGATGGGGTTGATGGATTGAGATGCGACAAACATGGGGAGGTCACAGGAGCAACGCACCTCAGTGAGAAGGAGGAGCAGCAGAAGCCGCAGCAGGAGCAGGAGAACGAGGCGGAGCAACAGAAGCAGCGTCACGTGCAATCATTGAAGAGTGAGATGGAGCAGCGGTGGAAGAGAAGACGAGTGAACACGGATGGCGAGGAAAGCGCAGGTGGGAGGAGATTCCCTTTCCAATGGCCCCCTTCTTCTCACCCTTCCATCCCTCGTTTTCTTGAAGCGTTGAAAGTCAAATGCGCTGCTGCACTTCTCCCACGCGCCCACCTTTCTCACTCTTTCACCCTCGCCCCTCGCCCCCGTCGTCTCCCTCTCTCACTGCCCCACGTGCTACCGCTGCTTCTAGGGTGCAGGCCTCGTGGACGGGCGGGGGGAGGGCCTTGTGGATGCGCGGGGGGAAGGGCTCGTCAATGGGCGGGGGGATGGTTGCGCGGATGGGCGGGGGGAGGGCCGCGGAGAGGAGGGTGAGTTGCGACAATTGCAGGCACATGGGGGTCTGGAGGGCTCGTATGGGTTGAGGCAAGACGGATGGGAGCAGTTTGCTGCTGCTGCTAACGAAGGGGGCGAGAAAAACGAGGGTCAGAGGCGAGAAGGGGAGGGAGGAGCCAAGGAAGGCGAGCAGGAGCAGCAGAAGCAGGAGCGCAGAGGGCACTGGAAGGCGCAAGGAAACAGGGGAGAGGAGAAGGGTGATGAGCAAGACGAGGACGAGCAACAGCAGCGGCCACAGCCCCCCCAGCAGCAGCAGCAGCAGCAACAACCGCAGCAGCAGCAGGCAGCAGGGCGGTGGGTGTTGGCGTTTCCGTCCATCTCAACAGCGGACTTCAAGTTTGACAGAGAGAGGGCGGCCGCGGTGGTGGTTGACTGCGTGACTGAGTTCCTCTGGCGCAACGGGGGTAGCAGCCACGGCAGCACCACTGCCAGGAGTGCGGGTGAAGGCCGAGTGGGTGGTGAGGGTGGTGTGGGTGGTGAAGGTGGTGTGGGGGAAGGGGAAGGAGAAAGGAGCAGGTTTGAAGGGATGGTTGTAAGAGGTGCTGGTGCTGCCACTCCTATGGGTCCTGGTGCTGAGGCTAGTGCTGCTGCTGCTACTACTGCTGTTGGAGTTACTGCTGCGGTTGCTGCTGTAAGGGATGCACGGAGGCAAGGGGGCAACGGCAATGGGAATGGTGACAGTAACGGTGCCAGTGGCATGGGCAGCTGCAGCGTGAATGGAAACGGCGGTGACAATAACGGTTCCAGCACTAGACACGAACAGCCTCCAGCAGCAGCAGGTACAGAACGACCTTCAGCACCTGGAGAAACGAGACAAACATCGCCGCCTGGAGATCCAGAGAACAGACAAAAATCGCCGGCCAGGGGCAACACATCGTCTACAGTGTCTGACTCCCCGCCCAAGCAAGACACGGTTGAGCGCCATCCAATCCTGGATCTGATATTGGTGGACCTCTCCCCCTCCTCTGACATGCTGAGGCGGGTGAAGCGCCTGGCTCGCCAGAGGGGGCTGCCGTTCGTTGAATCTGGGCGGCTTAGGAGAGGAGCGGATGGTGCAGAGAAAGGAGAGGACAAGGCGAGACGGTTCATTGAACCTGGACGGGAGGGAGGATATGCTGGTGGCGGGAGGGGTGAGCGGGAGGAGGTGGGGCGAGGGGGTGTGGCAAGAGGAGGGCCAGGCGAGGCTCGAGCAGAAAACGCTGCCCCTGCTACAGGTGCTGCTGCTATAGCTGCCCTTGCTACTGCTGCCCCTGCTGCTGCTTCAACTGCCCTTGCTGCCGCTGCTGTAAACAATGATGCTGCTGCTGCCACCACTGCTGCCCTTCCTGCGGGTGGGGGCAGGGGTGGTACTGGCACAGGGGCTGGTGATGTGTGTGATGGCACTGGTGCTGGAGAGAGGGGTGGGGAGGGAAGGAGGGCGGGCAGAGGTGCAGACAGGGACGCGTGGGATGACAGCACACGTGGCAGATTTATCCTGCATGCCGGGGATATCACCAAGATGAGGTCGGATGGCGGCATTGAATGCCACGTCATCGCAAACTCGGCCAACTGGTATGATGACGTGGCATGGCATGGATTGCTGCTTGCACACATGCATCGGCACATGCAGGAACATTTGGTGCATGTCCATCCTTGGGATGCGGCTTACAATAGATGAGTCTTGTTGTCAAATATGCACATTATTGTATGAATCATTATCTGTCCACTATCTGTGCCATTCAGTACACTATACAGAATAAGTCATTTACTATGCTGTGCGGTGCTGTGCGGTGCGTCTGTGTGTGTGTGTGCAGCCGTCTGCTACCGGGTGGGGGCGGAGTGAATGCAGCCATTCACAGTGCTGCCGGCCCCAGCCTCATTGAGGCAACACGGCGCAAGTGGCAGCAGCAGCAACAGCGGCAGCAGAGGCAACAGAATGAGACCCAGCAGCAGCAGCGGACAGAGGTGCAGGAGAAGCAGGATCGTCTTGAGCAGCAGCAGCAGCATGATCAGCAGGAGCAGCAGATGCAGCAGCAGCAGCAGCATGGGGAGCATCAAGGACATGGGCAGTTCCAAGCGCAGCAGAAGCCAAGCGGGGAAACGCACCAGTCTCACTTGCAGCAGGCACCTCATGATCTTCCCTCGTCCCAACCGCTCTCCCCTCCTCCCCAACCTCATCCCCTCCTCCTCTCCCCAGGCTCTGTTCTCTCCGCACCCCTGCCCCTCTCCTCCCCTCTGCGTGTGCGTGAGGGGGTACGGCACGTGGTGCACGTGGTAGGGCCGAATATGAACCCCCGCCGCCCCAACTGCCTGGATGGTGACTATAACGAGGGGGAGAGGCTGCTCAGGTCCGCGTATGGGGCGCTCTTTAGAGAATTCCGCCTGCTGGCAAAAGGGGGGGAGGAGGGGCGCGCGGAGAGGGGGGGCGGAGGGGAGGAGGGAGTGGGGAGAGTGGGGGCGACGGAAACAGATGGAGAGCGGGAGAGAGGGATGGGAAGGGGTGTGGAAGGGCGAGGAGGTTGGGGGGGTGTGGGAGAAGGTTTGGTTGGAAAAGGGGGATTGGATGGAGCAGCAGAGGGTGGGATGGGGGGAGAAGGGCGGATGGTGAAGGGGGTTGAGGAGGCACGTGATGGGCTTGCAGGGACGAACGTGAGAGAGTTTGTGGGAGGAGAAGAGAGACGAAGGGAGGAGATAGAGAAGGGTGGGTCGTGGGAGGATGGGGCAGGTGGCGGAGTGGGAATGAGGAGAAGAGGGAGCGTTGCTGGGGATGATTACGGGAAGGGGAAGAGGAAAGCTTGTGCTGAGGATGAGGATGGGGAGAGAGGCGAGGGCGATGAGAGGAGAGGAGTGGAAGCGGGGAGTAAGCGGAGAAAAAGAAAGGGGGAAGGTGAGAGGGAAGGCGAGGGGAGTAGGGAGATTGAAGAAAATGAGAGGGGGGAGGGGATGGAGGAGGAGAAGCAAGGGGAGGAGGGGGTTGGAGGAGGACTGGAAACGGGAGGTGAGACATCAGGAGAGGAGGCTAGGCAGCAGCAGAAGCAGCAGCAGCGACAGCAGCAGCAGCAGCAGCACCAGCAGCAGCAGCAGCAGCAGCAGCAGCACCACCAGCAGCAGCAGCAGAAGCAGAAGCAAGGCAGGGTGGCGACAGGCGTGGGGAAGGGTGAACATGCACGTGATGCGTTTGCGGTGCTGATGGGCAGGGGCAGGAAGAGAAGGGCGGATCACCAGGTTAAGGTTGATGCCGAGGCTGCTTCGGACATCCTTCCTGAAGCTAAGCGGCAGGCACGGGATGTGGAAATGACAACTGGCATTGCCACGGTGGCGCTTCTTCCTCCCACCATCGCTCCTGTTCCCACCACCGTCTTATTCACACCTCCAGCAGAAGAGCTTGCAGCCGCAGCATTACCAGAGACAGCAGCACCAGAAGCACCAAACACAGCTGCACCATCTGCTGTTGCAGCAGTACCAGCTGCAGCTGGAGCAGCAGGTACAGAAATACCAGGTGTAGCAAACGCAGAAGCAGCAAGAACAGCAGCAGCAAGCACAGCAGCAGTAAGCGCAGCAGCGGCAGGCACAGCAGCAGCAGACCCAGCAACAAAGAAGGCAGTTTGGGAGAGAGGGCACCCCAGGGGTAGAGGCCAAGGCATAGCATGGATTCACAGCAGCAATCCGCCCTGGCCGTGGATGCTGGCTGAGGCTGCTGATCCAATGGCTCAGATGGTGCAAGAGATTCGCATGCTGACAGGAGATGGTGGTGGTGGTGGCACCGCTACTACTGCTGCTGGTGCTGCAGCCCCTGGTTCTGCTGTGCAGTTGAAAGCCACAGCAGCAGGGAAAGGGGCAACAGCAGCTGAGGCACGAGCAGAGGCAGACGCACGAGCAGCAGCGCTAGCACGGGCAGTGGCAGAAGCAGCAGGTAAAGAAGCCTTTGACCCTGCAGGCAGGCCAGAAGGGGCTATGGTAGCCCAAGCTCCCTCCCCAACCACCGTTATGTCTTTCACCACCTCTACCACCCCTAGCAGTGACACTGGCACCGCCTCCACCTCAGCTGGGGCTGACTCCACGTCAGCCAGAGCGGATTCCACGTCAGGGGGAGGCGAGCGGGGGTTTTGGTCGCGAGGCGACAGCTCAGCAGCTGCTGCCGCGGCTGCTGTGGCAACTGGTGCTACTAGTGAAGGATGGGGGGCTGGTGGGTCGTATGGTAGAGGGAGTATGAGGAGGGAAGGGCGTAGTGATTGTAGGGAGAGGGAAGGAAGGCGAAGGGAAGGTGATGGGGGTCAGTTGGCTGGGGTAGAGATGGGGGAGATGGGGGCTGATGGGGGGGGGACTGCTGCTGGTGCTTATGGAGTAGAGGAGGGAGAGAGGAACATGCAGGGTTTAGATCGAGGCGGTGTTGATTATGCCCATGCTCACTCTCATGCTGCAGCTGGTGGTGCTGGTGGTGCTGGTGGTGCCAGTGGCATTGACGATATAGCACCACTTGTGGCAGCACCAGCAGCAGCGGATGATGCCCCAAGCACTGCTGATTCCCCTCCAGCGGCTCAGGTGCCTTCTGTGGATCCCCAGGTGGTTACAACAGAGCGCCAGGTACCTCTAGCAGAACCTCAGGTGCCGTTATCTGCAACAGACCACTCCACTGTAGCACCAAGACCCGCCTCAGGACCACCATCTCTCCCCCGCCCGCCGACTAGAGCCCAGGCTGGGGCGCAGGCTCAGGCCCAGCCAGGGACGGAGGCTCGGGCCAAGGCTGGAGCTCAGGTCAGGGCTCAGGCTGGGCCGTCTAGTAGGAGCGAAGCAGCAGCACTCTCACGGCCAGTCTCAAACCCTGCTCCTCCCCGCCCTCCTCTACCCCGTGCTCCTGGGGACCTGGATCGGCAGGGCAGTGCAGGCCGGCAGACGGCAGGAGAGATGGTGATGGGCGCTGTAGGGGGGGGAGGGGATCAGGCGATGGGGGTGTGGGTGGGCCGGGGAAGGGCAGCATTTCGACCGAATCTTGAAAGGGTGGTGGAGGAAGAGGGGCGATATGGGGGGAGAGACGAGGGGAGAGATGGGGGGAGAGACGAGGGGCGAGATGGGGGGAGGGAAGAGAGGAGAGGAGGGAGAGAGGAGGGGAGAGTAGGGCGGATTGATAGGGGCAGAGATGGAGGGGAGAAAATGCTTCAGGGAAGGGGTTTGGAGGAGGGGAGAGGTGGGGAAGGTGGGGTTGTTGGAGGGGGGAGGAGAGAGGGGGGCGGTGACGGGGTGAGGGGAGAGAGGGATTCTGGAGGAGGGGTGCAGTGGTGGAGGAGGAACGAGGGGAGGGGTGTGATAGGGAGTGAGAAGGGAGGAGAAGAAAGAGGAAATGCTGGTGGTGGTGGTGAAGGGGGAGAAGCTAAAGGGGGAGGGGGAGGAGGAGGGGGAGCGGGAGGAGGGGGTGGTGGTGGTGGTGGTGGCAGTGGTGGGGGTGGGGTTGGTGGTGGGGGTGATGGTGGAGGAGTGAGGGGAGGGGGAGGAGGAAGAGCAAGTGACATAGGGGGAGGGGGCAGCGCAGGAGGAGCAGGGAGTGGAGGGGGAGGAGGAGGGGGAGGGGGCGGAGGCGGCAAGCGCAAGGAGGGGCATGGTGGGGCGGAAGGTTCCTGGAAGCACGCACTGAGGGACATTGCGATGCGGCCGGAGAGGCACGGCGACGTGGTGCTGTTCTCAGATGCTTCTGTGGTGGTGATCCGTGATAAGTACCCCAAGGTGAGATTCGAGAATCGGCGTACCAAGTGAGATGGTGGTCAAGAAGGTTGGTGGCTGGCTTTACAATCGAGACAGTCAGGCAGGCTTACTGTCATCTGCAAAGGATATCTCCATCCTGAGTGAAAGCATGCCTCTGTGGTGGTGGTCTGGGATACCTCATCTTGATTGAAAGGATACCCTGGGGACATGATCGCCCTGAAGCCAGCCTGTTAGTCTCGCTTCGACCCTGTGTTTTATACTTGAAAACATTGTCCAATTGAGAATGTGAGGGTTTGAATGTTTTATGGTTGAGAGGGTTGGCTCTGACACTTAGCTCCTTCCTCCCATCCTTCCCCGCCTTACCCATCACTCCACACCAGGCCCGGCACCATCTGCTGGTGATCGCACGAACGGACGGAGTGGATCGCATCATCGACGCCACAGCAGCGGATCTGCCTCTGCTGCGCCACATGCTGGCAGTAGGGCAGCTCTGGGCGGCACACTCCGTCTCACCCTCCTCCTCCTCCAACCCCACTCTTGGATCCGGCAATGCACCCAATCCCACTCCTGCCTCTCGCGCCACACCACAACAGGACAGCTTGCAGCAGAAACCACCTGAAAAATCTCCTGATGCTGCGGCCCCAGGGGTGTCAGGTGCTGTTTCAGGTGATCGGCCAGGGGGTGGTCCGGGCAGTGAAGGCGAGCACGCGAGGGAGAAGGCTCTGCCTGGGAAGGGAGGGCTGGGTGTGCCTATAACGAGGGGCCCTGGGCCAGGTGTGACAACAGCGGGGTCATCGCCACCTCAGCCACTGCGCTTCCGTTTCGGCTTCCACCAGGTGAACCTGCATGCTCTGTCAGCCCACGCGTGGGCTCCTGTCGCTCAATACTATTCGTCAAGTGCATCCATGCATGCATGCGTGCTGTGTGCCTCACGTGCCCTCCATCCATGCACCAGCTGCACCTGCATGGCGGCTGTCATCAGGACATGGAGTCCCTCTGTTAAAACGTATTGCAATCATGATGTTTGTGTGTTCATGTGGATTGCGTGTCTCAGGTACCGTCCATGCATCAGCTGCACCTGCACGCCATAAGCCAGGACCTGGACTCACCCCATCTGAAGCACAAGAAGCATTGGAACTCCTTCGCCTCGCCATTCTTCCGCGATGCCCTCCAGGTGAGTTTCCTTCGGGTGAATGTCCCCCTGGTGAATTTCATCCACATGATAATCTCTTGGTTTATTTCCTTCATGTATATTTCCACCAGGAGGATGCCCCATAGATGAATGTCTTCTGTGTACTCTAAACCAACTGTGTATCCGTTCGTCAGTTTTGGGGCTTGTTTCCTAGATAGGCGTTGTTGAATATTTCCCCATATCGTTCCCGACATTGTTTTCTCACTAAATGCTATTCGTTGTCGCCAATACTTGCATCAATCACTCCCTGACACCCATCAGGTGATTTCCCAGATAGAGCAGCACGGCCATGTGCTGCCAGCTCTGCCGTCCACCCACATCTCCTCATCTGTAGCCGGACAGAACCTCTTCCCGGGCTCAGGTGAAACTTCTCCCAGGGCTCCCCCAGTTGCTATAGAGGCAGGAGCGGGAAAAGGGGGTGGTGCAGCTGTGGCAGAGGGTGCAGCTGTAGCAGCAGCAGAGGCATTGGGCGGGTTGGCAATAGCAGGTGATGGAGAAGGTATCAAAACTGGAGAGAAGGTTCCAGGTGAGGAATCTCGAGATGCTGTAGCAGGTGCTGATTCTGCACCACGATCGAGGTCAAGATTGGTTGCTTCTGATGAGCTTGTAGGAGCCTTGGAGAAAGAGGCTCGGCATCTGCTTCGGCATGAGCTTCGGTGCCACCGGTGTCGCAGCGTGCAGCCGAACCTTCCGAGGCTGAAGACGCATATCCGCACGTGTTCTGCACCCATGCCTGGTTCCCAAGTTGGCCTGGATAGCAGTGGTGGTGATGTGGCTGGTGGTAGCAGTGGAGGCGGAGGGGGGTCAGATACTCGAGACTAGATGGTACATTGTACCAAAATTAATAGACTCGTTGGAGTAGAAAATATTTAGGAGTGGATGGTGGTCTCATTGGTGGATTGGTGCCGTCATCAAGTAGTGTACAAGCATACCCAGGAATTGTGAGGTGGAAGAATTCATAGGACTAGTCATTAGGAGATAGCAAATCAGAAATCATTGGTTCAACTCTTATCGTGCTTCCTCAATAATCGCGGACACTTTTTCGTCTCAATGTCAGGCCGCCAATCGCAGCCGTAGAACCATTTTCGCATGTACAGGTGGCAAGACACGCGCCCTCGATGATCCTTGTGGTTGCAGTTCTTTAGAAGGTTAGTCCCTGCAAAAGGTCTTCGGGCAGACTTCAGTGTGGTTTGCCTGAGCCTTACATTCAGAAGCGATGGAAGGAGGCCAGTGGGAAAAAGAGCAGCAGCAAATCCATTTTACTAGCCGCCTGTCAAGGAGGGTAGCGTTCGTAGCTGCAAAAGCGTTTCTACGTAATCCACCCCTGCTCAGCACACGGAAGGTAAGTCGGTGCACACGTTCTCTCCTCAGGATTTTGTATGTGTGAATACGGTGGTTGAGCGAAGAGCATGTTGCTGCTTTTCAGGATCAATGCTGAAGTCTGTGGTAAATCGAAGTTATGACACTGGAAAGGCATCGGCGTCACCCTTTTTGGATTCTAGATGCCGCGTTGAGATGGATGCGCGAAGTCACGGCGAAGGGTCAGCCTTTCCCTTACAATCCCTTCCGGACGAGCTCTTGCTGCAATGTCTAGCTCGCGTGTCCTCCGAGTCAGACCCTGGGTGCCTGCGACTCCGCGGGGTTTGCCGAAAATGGAGGAATTTACTGACGTCAGATAGCTTTTTGGATCTCAGACGTCAGCTGGGGAGAGCGACGGAGTGGTTGGTGACTCTGACTTGGCGAATTGATGGAGGATTGCTCTGCAAGCTTTTTGACTCCTTTACCACTAAGTGTCAGGTTGGTAGTCCACTCTTTTATTTACCTTTCATACGCGACGTCATTGCGACCTCATTTTTTGAAGTCATCTGTCACCACATTATCCATGTGAAGGTTTACTCCCCTTTTCGGCTGGCCTGATTTATTGTGCTTTTCATACATGGCAGAGACTACCATGTTCATTCTACGGTCTTCCTCCATCTCGACAATATTTCGGAGTGACTTCAGTCGGTCATACGATCTACGTTATTGGCGGACAGACCATAGACAACACAGGCATAATGACTGACTTGACCTTCTCTGCTTCAGTTGACTCCTATAACCCGCTGACAAACACATCAAAGTCGCTTCCTTCGCTCACAACTCCACGCAGCAGATTCGCGTGCTGCGCTTCTTCTGACGCGGTTTTCGTAATCGGAGGTGTTACTAACGGGTATGAGGTGCTTTCCTCGATTGAAGTGTTCGATTTGAGACAGGATTGCTGGCTCCAAGCATCAAGTCTTCCAGCACCCAGACAGGGAGCTCACGCACAGATCATTGGGAACCGGCTGTTCGTTCTTGGGGTTGTTCATCCTCGTTAGAAGACACAGACCCCAACTACACGCTTTTCGTGTGCGACGTTCCGATTCTGAGTAGCAGCAGCAGCGGCAGCAGCAACTTCATCAGACCATCCAGCAGCAGTAGCAGTCAATGTCCCAGCATCGCCAATACCAGCCTTATCCCTAGACAGGCTCAACACACTATCAACTTGGTGTGGAGGGAAGCTGCTGGTTTACCTGTTCCACGAACTGGATTCCAGACAACTGTGCTCCACAACAGGCTCTGTGTGATCGGTGGTGCAGCAGCTGAACCTGATGAATGGCAAGCACCAGAAGGCCGAGAGGGAGAAGGAGGGGGTTGGGAGTCACGAGGGTGGGTGTGTTTTAATTTCCCACTGGTGTATGACCCTTGCACTGATGAGTGGAAGCTATGGAGGCAAGGTCACAGCAGCGTTCAGCAATACTCTCATGACTTGTTCTCCTCTCCATCCAACCTTCTAGTGAACCCACCTTCCTCTCCGCCTTCCCTTCGGCCAATCAAAGGAGCTGAGAACAGGTTGACATGCCAGCACACAGCATGTTATGGTTACCAGAGCAGGGGTTACGCATGTGTAGCCCTCAATGGGGATCTGTTCCTAGTCAGGAGATGTGACAAGGGTAGGAACAGCTACTGCAGGCATATTCACAAGTTTGACATCTCCCTGGCAAATTCAGGGTACGGAGCAGCATGGGAGTGTATACAACGTACACGGGCGTACTCTTCGCTCTTAACAGAGGCAGGCGATTGCTGGGAACATTCTGTTGCGATAGCTATTATTTGTTGATGTATATTACTTCGGATGACTGTCACTGCAGCTGACTCTTCACTGTTCTCCATGCTTCAATTGTCTGTGGACAGCTTGACTTCTGAAGGGGTTATATGCTGTGTTTTTCAGCTGCTTGTCATGTTCGCTAACGCCTTGGGCTTGTCATGACAGTGGCACATGTCATGGAACGTTGGAGACACTATCTACAGTATCGTGGCTGCTTCGACATTCTCTGCTACCCATATTCACGGCCAGCACCTGGTCATATCATAATGGTTGGCATGGTACAAAACAAGAGCATAAAAGCTAATCAAGTCAAGCCAGTATTTGAAGTGAATTGCTTTGCTACAGTCCGAGTGCAAGATGGAGGCACCGTGTGTTGCACCAGAAGGGCACTTGTAATTTGAACACTACAACCCCATCTTCCTGCCTGATGGTGGGGCTGGACTCCCCTGGTGGCAGCACATGAGCCATTGACTGCCCACCTTTTCAAACACGTTCGTTGCCACCACCCTGAGAGGGGATGGAGAGGGGATGGGGGGAAACATATGGTGTGAGTTGGACGCTACATGTGCTAGCTCCATGCTAGACTCATGAGCCAACTCAATGACATTTGCCCGCAAGAAGATTCTACGATTGGCTCTCAAGAACCACATGGAGTACCCACCTGCCAGCAGATCCTGCTGACTTGATAACCTCTACACAAGTCACCATTGCCATGCTGCCGCGCACATGGCACGCCACGTCTTCCAGTGTGATGCTGAGCTGGCGGTTCATGCCATCAAATATAAGCTCCCAGCTGTTAAGCACCTATGGTGGAGGTGGAGGGGCAGTGTAGAAGAAAGTTGAAGTAGGAGCGAGAAGCGATGACATGAAAGGTGAAGAGGCAGCAAATGATAAAGCGACATCAAGAGGCAACGAAGGAGCAGAAGAGAAAGGGCACCTGCATTGACCATGCCCCCAAGACCAACCGCAGTGTGCATGCACTCCCGCATCAACCCAGCACACCACATCTTACCATGTCATATCCAGATATTATGTTTGCTCCAGGGTGTATGCACTGCAGGTGCTCCCCTCTAGCCCACACGCGGCGCATGAGCCTGAGATCAGCAGAGCCAAAAGCCCGGTAGAAGAGAGCATTGGCTGCTATAACTGCCGCCTCGTTGTCTGACTGAAGGCGCCTGGTGTCCGAGAAAACAGGACAGAAAATGAGCAATGGGAGAGGGGAGACATGACATGACACGTGAGAACGGGTCATGTGATGTGACGAGGTGCGTTTCTGGTGCACCGGAGCCTAAGTCGTCTTAACCACCTCTGATCTTTCCTCACAACTGCATTTGCTTCACCTGAAATTGCTGGCCATCTGAAAGCAGCTGCACATGAAACACCTGAAATTTTGTTGATTTCACCTGAGCCTATCCCTGAGCCCAGCGGCAGCAACATAATCCTCTGCCTGCACAGCTGCATCGAGCTCTCTCTCCAGCCGACTCATGGTGAGAGCCACGGCCTCCGGCTGGCTCACAAGAATGGGAATGGGGGGAGAGAAACCGGAGGGAGTGGAGGGGGTTGGGAGCAGGGCGAACATGAGAGGACGAGAAACTACGCTACAGCCCATGGAAAAGGCAAAGAAAACAGGAAGGGGATGGGGGTGGGGGGGAAATGTGAAGACCGATGGGGACTGAGAGCCGAAATATGGATCTTTGAAAGCAGATTCCGCTGTCACGTCAGAGCACATCACTCACATCCGACTCATCGCTGATGTCAGCGTCATCTCCGCCACCACCGCTACCACCACTGCTGCTCGCGGCTCCCACTCGTTGCCTCCTACCGAAATCCTCGTGTTGATCGCCCCTTGACCTAAAGCAAGGACCAGACTGTAGCGCTACGCCATGACTCGATATAAAGGGAGAGTATGAAAATCCCAATTCAACACCCAATTCATGTGATCGCCACCCAATTCTCGCGGCTGCGCTACTGCTTGTCGACTCCCTCGAGGTTCGGTGACTCGCCACCGAAAATGTTCCTGCATGGCAGCAACGGTGCGATCTGACAAGGTCGCGTTGGAATAACAAAAGGCCATGGGGTCGATCGTGGGCTTTTTGACGAGGTACGGCAACATATGGCCTGCGCAATGAGCCTGAAGATGCGGTCGCCATGAGCTAAAAAAACGCACGGAGAAGCACGTTCAAGTATGTTATAATGAACTTTACAACTTTTCAATGCACAGAGCCGTGGTCCCATGATCTAGCGGTTATGATGTCAGACTCTGAATCTGAATGCCCGAGTCCAATTTTCGGTGGGATCTACTGTTAATCATTTTTCCGTGACCATTGTTGCTGTTACGAAATAACCTGTCCCAGCTGTACTTCGAAAGTTTGTGTATTGAGTGAGACAGAGTCATGTAACGAAGAGGACCTATAACGGGGTGATGAGGGAAGCCAGGACTGAGTGTACACACGATGCTCACCTGCTGCCCGCGAATTTGATCTGCCCCCTGTCAAAACTTTGCCCACGAACAATTGGTGACGGGAAGCTGCACCCTGTTTACAAGCTCCCCAAACAAGTTGCACTCTAGCATGAACCCTAGCGCAAATGGCGGAAACTCAGGAACCTAGAGCTTTAGCTTTCCGAACGTCCAGATTAAGCTACTGTCAAACCCGTAGCCGATTAGGCTGGTTCCCCCTCCTCGACAGTAATTCGATCTACGGTAAGTTAGCTCTTTTCTTCGTCTCTTTCCTAGTCTCTAACTTTGTTTGGTCTTTTAGGGGACTCGCTCCCAGCTTTCCTAAGGTAGGTGGTTACTTACCGTCGATCACTTCACCGCCCCGCCCATTCGCTGGTCTTTACAACCGCGTATTGTCATGCACGACCCGACCTGTACCCCCCAACGCAAACCCCTTCTCCTTCCTTTTCTCGCGCCTAACACAATCTCTCTCCGCTCGCTGCTCTAGCCCCTGCTATCCTTCCTCTCCGTCCTGGTCGATGCTTGCCCCTGCCCTTTCTGGCGCTCCACTCTCGCGACGTCAACGGCGTGCGCCACTTCGGCTGAGCCACGTCATACCTCTCCAACAACGCCTGAAACCGACGGCTCCCAACCCCACGCCGACGGATACGCCACCGCCGTCAGGATCTTGGCATCGACGGCAACCTCAAACACGCCTGCGCTTCCTCTCCTACTCTCCCAGTCAGGTAAGTGCCATCGTACCGTACACTCCGGCCTCCCTCAATCGATTTTCATTCTACCGCTTTCCTACGTCACGCGGTTCTCTGCTATCCCGGTTTTTCCGCAACGATGCTATCTCTTTTGCTCCGTTGATCCCCATTCTGCCTCGCTATCTCTGCCGATGTGCATGGTCTTCGGACTCTGGCTGCCGACTAGGCGCCAAGTCTACTCCAGGCTCGGGTTGCTGACTAGGCTCCCAGCCTACTCCGGAATTGGGTCGCCGACTAGGCCCCCTTTCCATTTCTGTGAACCGCTGTGGCCAACGCCTTTACGTTCACGTCCCACCTCCTACCACCGCTTGCGCTTGGCCTCGTGACTCGGGAAGTCCATCGGGCTCCCGGTCGTCTCTCTCGGACCGCCTTGGTCCTCGCTATCACAATTGCCTGCTCGATTTCCTCCCCCACCCCCTGTGCCTCGCGGCCCTTTATTTCGACCTGCCTCCCGCTCCTGCATGCTTGAACTACCGCCCCCTCCGTTTGCCAAGCTTTCCTGCCCAGTTTTGTACGTCGCTTAATGCCTCGACCCGTGACATACCGCTCACCCACTCCCCCAGTTGCTCCCCCCCCTCTTCTCCTCCCATGCTCATGCTCCTTGCCCATACAATGCCGCCCTTCCCCCCTCCCCTGGGCCGGCCCCCTCCCCCAGGGGCGGATCACTCTGGCTGCCCCACCCTCTACCTTCCCTGCTCCACCCCGCCCTTGCACCCCCCCTGGGTCCCCCTGGACCATCCTCTCCCCCTCAAGCCTCTCTGGTTCCACCCTGGGCCCTCAGGCGGCCTTGATATCCTGCTGCTCTACCTCCCTCCCCTTTTATACCCTCTATTCTGGTGCTCCCTGGCCTCCCTCTCACTCTGTGTTCCTTGCAGAAGCCCTTGCTACAGGTGCTTCCAAGCAATGTCTCTGCCGTCGGAGAACTACTCCCCTCTGCCTGCTTCCCGAGCTGCTTTTGATGCCCCTTGCTTGCTTGCCCCACTATACTGCGCATCGGAGGGTTACAAGCCTCCATGTCTGAAATCCTTAACTTGCTACCGTACACTAAATCTCGCCCTAGTCTTTACGCTCAGTTGTAACACTAGTCCAAACTTTAGTTGGAAACATTGCTACTGGTATTATAGAGGACAACACCAGACCCCACAATACAAACTACCAATAGGTTTTAAGAGGCATACTGCATCACTGCACACGTGCGTCATAAGAAGAAGGAAGTGTACACTATCCTATCACCTGTACAATATGCCTGCCTCCATAGTACACCGTTCAATCATCCTTCTACACTTCATACCCTTTGATTTCCTCATGCCAACATTTAGATGTAGTGCTGGCCACTTTCGGATAAAACAAGCACGTACCGGTATATACACTTTGCGCACCCCAAACTCCCAACATACACCTCATCGGCAACTCGTTGATTTCAAAAACCTACCTGTACGCCTTTTTAACATGTCGACATTCAACCCCATGCCGCCTCGGCACCTCGAACCTCTCCAAGCACGGCATGCCACCGACCCTATCTCCAACCCCTGCACTCACCAGCAAAAACTATTGCTTAGGCCGTGGATACGCACGATCTCACGTGCGGTGGCCTTCACGTCGCTGCCATGTTAACACACCTCCGCATCATATGTATCAATGTGAACGGAATCAACGAGACTCGTAAAATGGATGAGCTTAAATCCTGGCTCTCGCGCCTCCCTGCCCCCACTGACTTGGTCATCCTCATTGACACTCGACTCATCCTCAGAATTCCCAACCTCGACTTCAAATTTCGACCACATGCCTCCGCTCACGCCCCGGCGCTGCTTTCGACTGACAGCGCTTCTGGAAGGCCCACTCTTATCGGAGGCATTTCCATCCTCTCTTTCAATAGGGCCATTTCTCTATCCTCCCCGCTCCCCTCTGCAGACGGTAGGCTTATCACGGTACATCTAAACTATCCCCGTGAGCAAATCCGCCTTATTGCGCTATATGCGCCCACACAGTTTTACGAGCGTCGAATGTGGTGGTCCACCACGCTCATTCCGGCACTAGAAACCCCCACCGCTGCCTCCGCGACCATGCTCGTCGGAGACTTCAACTCGGTCACCCTTCCCATTGACAGGAACCGACCCCTCAAAGATTACGAATGCCGTGAAGGAGCTTCTTTCGCTAAACTCATGGACTCTCATGCGTTGGTCGATACATTCCGAGAACTCTTCCCCACACCTGCCAACGTTTTCTCCTTCTGTGGCAGGCAACGCCTAAACTCAGCATCCCCGCCCACATCTTCCCGTCTCGACAGAATTTACATCTCCAGATCCTTCCTCCCCCGTCTCACTGCTAGCCCGTACATTCAAACCCGCACGGCAATTACAGATCACCTGTATGCCCCTCTCTGCTCGCTCTGTTTCACCAACCCCACTGTCGCCCCGCGGCCCTGACGACTCCGCCAACATCTACTCATGCGACCCCACGCCACACAAATTGTCGATGCTGCCCTTGCAGCCTTCCCCTCCTCCCCTTCCCCGAAATCCTGGGACAGATGGAAGCTCGACTTCACCCTTAGCTTTAAAAGATTCTCCAACCTGGAAAGACGTCGTGTTGACGGCACGATCGCGCACCTAGAGCGCACCATTGGCTCTCTACAATCACAAGTTGCGTATACGCCCTTAGACCAGAACGAATCTTCTCGCCTCAGCCAAGCACGGCTCCACTTGGCCAGATACGAAGCCTCGAAATCCTCCGAGATTGCGCTCAAGGCCAAATTGAAAGTGGAAGGGCACAGAGAAATGGGTGTCTCCTCCCTCCTTTCAGGACTCAACTCGCGAATCAAAGGCTCGGTCATCAACTCCTTGACCCTACCTAACGGGCAGACGACCTCGGACCTGTCCACCATGACCAACGTGTGCTCTAGTTTCTTCCGGACACTCTATAGCGGGAACAACCCCGTCACCCCTAACCCATCTTTCTGGCAACATATCCCCTCCTCATCCATCCCAAACCCCTTACTCCTCCAGCTTAGTGCTCCCCTTTCCCTATCCGAAATCGGAACAGCACTCCTCTCTCTTTCACGAGGGAAAACCCCAGGCCCAGACGGTCTCCCCGGGGAGCTTTTTCGACAATTCTCTCCGCGCTTCGCATCGGCCTTCCACTCCCTACTCTCACCATCACAGCCACTCTCCTGCCTCCCTCCGTCCATGTTGACCGGACGAACGGTCCTTATCCCCAAAAGGGGGGACTCTTCGCTAGTGGAAAATCTCCGCCCCATTACCCTAATGAACGCTGATTACAAGGTACTCGCGCCGTGCCTTGCTAACCGCCTTCAGCTCGTCCTCCCTCAGCTCATCCACCCATCCCAAACTGCTTTCATCAAACACAGAAAAATCGGTGACACAATCAACGATACCTTGGACATCATGGACTGGGCGGCCTATTCCTCGTCCCCCCTTCTCGCTCTCACTGTGGACTTTCGCAAAGCATACGACCTCGTTGACAGGTCTTTCCTCCTCCAAGCCTTATCAGTCCTGGGACTCCCCACATCCTTCATCCACTGGGTCCGATTAATGCACTCCGACACGTACACATGTATCTCGGTTAATAACATGCTTGGCCCCACCTTCCCCGTCCGCACTGGCGTCCGTCAGGGCTGCCCACTGGCTCCGCTGCTCTTCGTTTGCGTCATGGAGATCTTTCACCGCTACACGTCCCTCTTCCTTCCCGGTTTCGCCTTGTCCCCCACACAGCGCCGTCTAATGGCATGCTACGCAGACGACGTCACTCTCTTCCTCACCTCAGATACAGAGCTCGGACTTGCTGTAGTGCTGCTCGGCGTCTTTGGATCGATCTCCGGAGAGGTCCCCAACTGGAGCAAGTGCTCCATAATTTCATTCAATATTCCCCCTACTGACCTCGTGCACGCCGGGAGCATACCCATCCGAGCTCCCAATGAGGCAGAACACATCCTCGGAATCTACGTTGAGCGTTAACACCCAGGCTCCACCACTTGGAATAAGGTTCTTGCCCGCATACAAAGCACCGCCAAGTTCCTAGCAGCCTTACACGCCACAGTTACGTGCCGCAAATCCATCTCTTCGATGTTTCTGAACTCAGTCATTTCGTTTCCCGGACGCTTTCAACCCGCCCCTCCAAACACAATCAAACGCTTAGATGTGTCAGTTGGGAACTTCCTTTCATCCTCGAAACACAAACAAGCTGGCCTCGCACAACGCCTCATTTCCAAGGCCCCTCCTATACAATTCCCTCCAAGACGGCGGGGTCGGGGCGATCGCCCCGTCTATACAAGTCAAAGCCCTTGCTATTCAGCGCGCCCTGCGCAGATTCGGACCAACCCCCTCTGAGGAAGTAGCACGTACCCTGACCCCGTTTCCCTTCGGGCTGCACGGACTTTTTTCCCATAAAGCCATCCTCGAACGAGATCTCCCTACATTCGTCCCCCCTCGGGCGCAGGACGAACTTGAAGCCTTCCTCTCTCTTCCCCTGGTCATCCATGGCCCCTCCTTACGCATGCAGTGCATCCTCACCGAACCTATCGCCTTCAACCGCTTTCTCCTCAAACCCGACGATCGGCCTTTTGGCACTCGCCAACACGAGCGCTTCCTTCTTACAGGGCAGCTCCGCATCGGACACATTGTCCGAATCACAAATTTTGATGTCGGCCCCATCTCTGCTGAAGAGTTTTGCTCCAAAGTCCCGGAGGAGTTCCACGACGACGCAACATGCATCCTCCCAGACCTTATCAAGGCTATCAAGCCTCCCTGGTGGGCCGCCCTCCGAACCCCGCATGCCTCTTATGCCTCTCCAGGAGCATGGTTCATGCTTTCGGACGACCACTATTCGATATCTCATCTCGCCCTCCAAGTTGTCGCCTTCATTCCCCCCGCCTCCGTCTCGGCTACTGTCCACCTCGTCTCGCCAAACCATCGCATCGCCCGCACCCCAACTGACACCGGACTTTTCTGTTTACAAGACCTCATAGAGGTGCACGTCAGGGATTGGTGGCTCGCAGGGCCACTTCACACAGGTGCAAGGTTAGGAGCTAGGGTAGAACTTCTACAAGACGGCACCCCCAGCATCGCCGACATCCGCCGTCTCCTCTACTCTGCACAACCACTAACTCATCACAGCCGATGGACCCGCGACCTCACCCTTCCTCCTCCTCCCCTCCCAGGCCTTAAGGACCCATTTCTCAAGGACCAGCCGAGCCGCCAGCGGAACATCCTTTTCAGACTCAACACGCTCACCCTTCCCTCTGGATCACGCTTCGAGTACTTTGACGATCGAGGGGTCTGCCCTCGGTGCCCAGGTGCCGTCGTCGAAACACTGCCGCATATTTTCTTTGAATGCTCCTCCGCCGGAACTGTCATCTCGGCTCTCCGCACAGTCGCTGACCGCCACCTTGGACAAACCACCACCTCCGAGCATATCTTTTTCCCGATACAGTCACAGATGGGACAGTCCCCCCAATGGAGCCTACTAGTGGGAGCTGCAGTTAAGACGCTGTGGAATGCTCGCTGCGACCACAAGTACCGCAACTCCTCCTCCTCCTCGAGCTTCGAGATACTGCAGCTGGTACTAGCCCAATTCCTCATCGCCTTCAAAATTTACATTTGGAGAAGCAGACGCCAATCCACCAAGAAGCGACAACGCACATTCGTCAGCATTAAGCGCGCACAGAAACTTCGCTTCCTCCTCTTCGATAGGAGTGGCATACCCTCTATTCACCCCGATCTCAGAGTCTCATGGCTTCTGGGAAACCCGTTCCGACCCCCGTAGACGACCACCTACATAGAGCGTCTCCCCAGTTTGCTGGCGGTTGTCGTTTAGGACAAAGAAATAACGTGTGTTCCACGTGCTCCTTATAGGATGCTGGCCATGTTGGCCATGTTTCTAGATAGCTCTATGATACTATTCTTTGTACATTGATTACGATCAATATATAACCTTATCCAAACAAGTTGCACTGGTTATGAACCAATGGTAACGAAGTGACTGAAGTCGAATTTTGCAGGGACTGAAGTAAAAAAGTCAACGGGTAGTTACAATTTTTTTATAAGCCCTTTTTGCTAGCTGCGACATCACGAAACCTCCGCGAAATGCAAAAAACACTACACGCCCAAAGGCTGTGTTCTGCAGGCATTTGCCTTGGGAGGGAGGTGGGGGGGCGAAGGGAAATGACGATGGTTCCGAGGCAGTTTCCCCTTCGATTCCCCCCCCCCCCCCGCTACAACCGAGAGTTGGAAGTTTCGGGTTGAGGGTGCGAAGCTGCTGAAGGTAAATGCCGAAAAAACAGCCACAATTTCCACCGCACAGAATTTGGGTAGATAGAGCTGCGCGAAATCAGAAAAAGGGTTGAAGTTTAGAGAAGGGTTAGCACGTAGAAAAAAGGGTCCCCAAGCACTCCCTCCAGCAATACACAAACCTCGCTGTGTTTTTTTTCCTGTTAGTTTGACGCGTCCCTGTTTGGGCTACTTAAGGGAGGTGCTGTTGATTTCTAGGGTTCAACCGTGGTGTTCCCTAACCCCCCGCCTCCCTCCCCCCTCCGTCTCACATCCAGGGCAAGAGCAGTTTTCAAAAGGGGGGGAGGAGGAGGCAAATTTTGCCAGAGAAGGAAGCTGGGGTGGGGAAATAGGCAGCTTCCTACGCCCTCATATCCTCGAGGGTAAATGGCTGTTCTGTTGCCATTTACCTTCGTTTACGTTCGGAGGGTAAATGGCAGGCTCGGATCCATTTTCCGGGCTGACCGGGCGTTTGATCCAAAAAACGCAGTTGGGGGAAGGTTCCTATTCACCGCCTCCCCCCCCTCTGTCATGCCTACAGAACGCAGCCAAAGGGTAAGGCAAGTACGGGGGGCTCTCTCGAGCTTCGTGTGTATGCCCAAGATCCCTCCCACCAGGCCAGCGCGCCATTTCCACGGATGAATATGCCCCGGTGGCAGGTTTGGGAATTGGTTTGAGGGCGCGCCCCTCCCTCGATCGATCGTGCAAAATCGACAACTATCGATCCTCCACCGCACTAATATCCTCGTTGTTCTGTTTTCAACTTTTTAAACCCTTTTAATACGAGCGCAGGATCGATTCTTCGCACGATCGATCGAGGGAGGGGACGCGCCCTCAGAGAGTCAGTGCGGGGTTTGTCCATTGTTATGCTGGGCCCACCCCGCCCATGGTCCTTGCGCGCCACCTCTCAAAAACCCCAAAGGCAGTCAAGGCATGGAATGGAGGGGAGGGGATGGATGGGAGGGGATGGATGGGATGGGATGGGATGAGATGGGAAAGGACGTCGTTTTGCTTGTTCGTCGTGCAGCTGGGCCCCACCGTCCCCCCCCTATTCCTCTCTCCCCCTCCCCTTCCCCCTGTCGCTCTTCCCCCTGGTCCTCGTTCCCCCTCCCCTACCTTCCCCACCCACTCCACCGCCCCACCCCCCAGCCCTTCCTTTCCTTCGAATGGAGCAGCAAAGCGAATTCGATTTTGTGCTGCTCATGCTGTGAACGATTGCCGCGCAAAATCTGGCAGTGGCAGCATCAAGCCAATGCCTTCCACTGCCCACTCCCCTTTGTTTGTTTTCTTCTCTGCACTACAGTACTGTAGCCTCGCCATTGACATTGCCGCGGAGGATCTAAGAAAGGATCGATGACAAGGCAGAACGCCTTTGTCCGAGTCGACGGAGGGAAGCTTGTTCCTTTTCCAATTTGCCTTCTGTTCTCAAGGACCTCATGCCAGCAGTGCAATGCCGCCGATTCCTGCCTGGCTTCTTGCTTTCCGACGAAAAATGACACCTCCGTTGATTGCGGGCAAGTGGCTCATTCCGATGCATCGCGATTCGCAACACCAGCTGTCGCTGTCGTCGTCGTCCTCCCCTTCCCAGTACAAAAGCTCACGAGTCACCTGGCCCTCTTCATTCCAAGCAACTCCGACTTCTCGCATCGTGATCATATTTTCGTAGAGTCTACTACGCTCCAGTATTTCTCTCATTACGTGCCAGTCAGCACCGCTAGCAACTCCCAGCCTTCCAATTTTTCGAGCCCTTTTCACAATCAGTGTTGGATTCTGGACCCAGATTTCCCTCACTAATGGCTTCAATCCCGACCTTCGGTTGGATCTCCACCAGCGAATCGCTCGACCCCGTCGCAGTGATGCTCCCAGACGGTTCCGTGCGACTTTACGATTCCGAGACGGACCGCGTTACAGCACGCAGAGTCCTCGCCGAGTTTCCCGGCCATGATCTCTTCGCAGCTTCCCAGTCGAGCGGATTCGAGCCGCTGTCGCCGAAGCGCGTGCTCAAGCCAGGTGGAACTTATCAGATTATCCCGAGCGATTCCGTGCTTTCGCGGATGCAGCCCTCTTCGGATTGCTTTCCATCTTCATCGAGCCATTTTCCAATGGATCTAGAAGCTATCTGCTCTGAAATGCGGGAGTACGACGTCAGGCACGAACAAGGCACGTGGGAGTTTGGACCATCAATCTCCCCGATTTCTGGCGTTGACGCGCCTACAGCGAGCGGAAACGTTCAGGACACGGACCATGTCTCCACATTTGCAACGGAGCTAAGAAACATCAACAGCAATTCAAGAATTAACTCTGCTAGCAGCATTGCATCCCTTCGTTCAAGTTCGGATAGCAGCTTTGAGAGCAGCCATGGTAGCATTACTACTAATCAGCGTTGCGGGAGAGGCTTTGGATTTAAAAGATCTGTAAAAGCATTTTCCAGGGACTGCTTGAAAGCTGCTCAGTTACAACAACTGACAGGGACGGAGCGGGTCTATTGATGTTTATCCATTGCTGTAATTATGCCGTTTCATGAATGATATGCTTTTAGAAAAATATTAAAAATTCCAACACACCGGAAAGCTGATGAACGTTGCAATCTACATCCGACTTACATGTACCGTTTGTGCTGTAATTGTGTATCGATTATACTTGTTATCATACATGCTTGTTTCACGGGTACAGAGCTTATCCACATTTGTGTCAGGTGCACTCACCCAAAATTCTTCAGGTGCCACGTCGTCATGTCGCGAAAAGTTGGGGAAAATGTCGTTCGTTACCGCCTTGACTGTCACGATTGTCGTCAAAGCTAAGCTAACCAATCATGCGTGAACACGCACGCAGTGAACCCGTTCGCCTCTTCGCCTTACTCAACTTGTTCTCCGTTCCACGCTGCCCTTGGCTTCTGTTCCTGGGTGCTTGTGACCTTACAGCCTCGCTGCATCCTGCCCATTTCGCTCCCTGGATACCCGTCGTCTCTTTCTAGTCTTCCTCTATTCATCCACCAGCAGTTTTTGTTCCTCTCGCTCTGCTCCATCCCTCAAAGGCAAAGAAACCGCGAAGCCACTGTTCGGACAGCATTGAACACGCTTGGCAGGAAGGAATGAGTCCACTTCCATGATCGCGTTCCAGCTCTGCACTTTTTACGCCGAATGTCCTCGCTGGTTGCTCAGAACCAGAGCCTGTAGGCTAGGGCAAAATGCTTCAGCCTTTTTATGCGAACGAATCCTCCTCCTGTCGGTCCCTTCTACAGTCCGTCTCTTGCTCCAGCCATTAGAGCGCAATGGTAGACTATCTACCATTTTCCTGACGTTCTTGTCACGTCTGTGTGCATCTATCACTGGTGACTGCACGACGTAGCAATCAGTTGTTCACTGTACACGAGAGAATCACCGCTGCTTTCTGCTGCTCTCCGCTTCCAACATGTGGGCCCTGTGTTCCTCTCTCTCTCGTAAGCTTGTCTCTTCTGCTTTGAGTTGGGCATTGCTCCGCTTCGTGAGTCATCTCTCGACATCCAACGCCGCCTCACACCAAGACCACCGCATCGCACTGGATTTTCCCTCGACGAAATTTCTCGAGAAAGTTTGTAGCATTGCCAAGTGAATTAGTTAGTACACTCACGCTAATCACTGCATCCGCTGAAGGCTGGATTCATTCCGCGTTTCAAACAGCCCACGTTGCCACTGACACACGGGTGCAATCGGAATTCAATTGGAGCGCATCGACAAACACGACAATGGAGCCAGGACATTCGACACAGGCATCTTTCATCGCGCCCTCCGCACCCCAAATGTCGCAAGGCGAAACGAAGCCATCTGCCAGAAGCCGTTCTTCCTTGGGGGAAGAGTTAGAGCAGAGATATACAACGAGATTGAAGAGTCCGGTTCGTCATTGTGACCAAAGTCCAAGTTCTTGCCATGATCCAACGAACATACCGCTACCATTCTTGCGCTAACAACCATTAAAATGACTCAAAGCCACGGTGACGCCTGCAGCTCGTTCCCGTGGGGATGCTCGTCAAGCTGGATTCCAGACATTCCAGACTCTGGATTTGAAGAGATAGGGATTTTGAGCGGCTGTATCCCGGATTCCAGCAGCCCCATTTTGGTCGTCCTGCCTGACGGCACTCTCCGTTACTATCGCACCGGCTCACCAATCACAGCGCGCCAGGTGCTCACTGACTATGCTAATCATGTCCTTGTGACATTTCATTCAGTGACAGGGTTCAAGAGGGTTTTTCCCAAGAAGCAGCTCAGTCCAGGATCAACCTACCACGTGTGGCCAAGGCCCAGAGGGCTAGGTGGAGCTCAAGCATTGCAAGCACCTGCTCGTCCATTGCTGTCCCAAGCACCAGCAACGCCACGCGTCCAACAAGAGGATTCGCTTGTGCAGCCAAGAATGTGTTCAAGTTGTATGCCCTCTAAGACAGCAGATTGCTGTAGGTCCTTGCCGTGAGATAACCAACATCTGTGCATGCCATTGTGTGCCAGACATGGCCTACTAAGGGTA